CCCATTGCATTAGAAATAAAAACCTCTGCTTTTCTTTGTTCACAGTGCTCTTATCATTGCTTCATCTGTGAGACACCCTCTTCTATAGAATTAAATTTGCCTTGCTGAGAAAGTTTATGTTTGAGTGCTATTTCTTTTGTGGCACCAGAAATTTGTTTCTAACAACTCAGGAAGTGGAGGTTGCAGTGAGCTGAGATCATGCTGCCACTCCACTCCAGCCTGGGTGACAGACTGAGACTCTGTCTCAAAAAAAAAAAAAAAAAAGAATCCTTTTGTATCTCACACACTGAGATATGTTGACAGGTTATCAGGGAAGAACAATGAAAACTTCCAATCTTTTAAAATAGAATGGGCTGGGCATGTTGGCTGACACCTGTAATCCTAACATTTTGGGAGGCTGAGGCCTACAGATGGCTTGAGCCCAGGAGTTTGAGACCAGCCTGGGTAACATGGTGAACATTAGCTACCATGCTTATCTAATTTTTGTACTTTTAGTAGAGATGGGGTTTCACCATGTTGGCCTAGCTGGTCTCAACTCCTGGCCTCAAGCAATCCACCTGCCTCAGCCTCCCAAAGTGCTGGCATTACAGGCATTCAGCCAACATGCCCAGCCTAGGACTTACTTTCTCAAAAAGTACAGAATACTTGAAATAGTAAGAATCATTTTTAAAATGTTAGTTTTTGAAGTACACTGTTTGCTTAAGGGGTAATATGTGTGCCTGTCTCTACAAAAAATTAGCTAGACATGGTGGTGCATGCCTGTAGTCTCAGCTACTCAGGAGGCTAAGCTGGGAGTATCACTTGAGCCCAGAGAGGTCAAGTCTGCAGTGAGCCGTGATCACACCAGTGCACTCCAGCCTGAGCAAGAGTGAGACCCTATCTCCAAAAAAAAAATGTTCTAAATGGTTTAGGCATGTGCTTGCTTAGAGACAGGCTCTAGGGTAGTTTGTGGAAGTCCCAGTCCTGTTTAGAATACAGATCAATCAACTAAAGGAACATATTCATTGTAGAAGTTTTCAGAATTTTTTATACATCAATGAGAATCAGAATGATCACATTATTATTGAAAAGAGAAAGCATCTGCAATAAAAACTGTAGCAAAGGATAGTAACTATAGCTGACTGTGGAATATGAAGTGGAGAATATGAACCACTTCTCATTTGATGTTGACTCACAATTGACCTGTTGACCACTGAAACAAAAGCATTTCCATAATTTAGAAAATCTATTTTTAAGGAGTTTTTGTGTTTAAACAAAAATCTAGATTATGTGTTTCTAATACTTGACACGACTAGAGAGGGAAAGGATATGGGAAGCCCAGTTACCCTGGCAATTCAGAGAGTGGTGAGCGCTCCTTCATCATTTAAATATAAAATAGAAGTCCCAAAGTTTTCCTAAACAAGATCAGAAAGAAGTAATCAACAGAGAAATACTGGGCTTTATAGGCTTCATTGTTCAGCAGAAACCCTCAGTTTTGGTTGGATATGCATGTTTTCTTTCTGGGGACACTTGTACTTTCTCTAATAATAGCACTAGCAAAGCTGCTTTTGCTGTGTCACCGGCATACTTTGCTGTTACAAAAAAAATCTCATTTGTTTTGTTCTTTCTTGGAATATTTTACAGAGCAGTGTGATATTTTTGATGTGTGTGTGTTTCTGTGTCTATATCTATTTTTCTGCTTATAAAGTTTTTTGCCTCTAGATATTTTTCCAGGAAAAATATTAAATTTTGATCCAGTCAAGCAAAACATTGTCGACACTTTTTTCATTGGCAGCAATAACCTCTTTTGTACTTTTTATTTTTATATATTCATTTTTTGAGACAGAGTCTTGCTCTGTCTCCCAGGATGGAGTACAGTGGTGTGATCTCATCTCACTGCAACCTCTGCCTCCCAAGCAATTCTCCTGCTTCAGCCTCCTAAGTAGCTGGGATTACAGGCAGGCACCACCTCGACTGGCTACTTTTTAAATTTTTTTGTAAAGAGAGGTTTTAACTATGTTGGCCAGTGTGGTTTTGAACTCCTGGCCTCAAGTTATCCACCCGCCTCAGCCTCCCAAAGTGCTGGGATTAAAGGTATGAGTCACCATGCCCAGCTTATCACTTCTGATTATCTCAAAAATAACAGAATACTGGAATAGGAAGAATCATTTAAAAATGTTAATTTTTGAATTACACTGTCTGCTTAAAGGGTGATACGTGGACATAAGAATTTTCCTCAAGTAGATTGTGGAATCATAATTTTATAATGCCCCAGTTGATAGCACAAGAGTCCTAACAAAATAGAAAGGCAATTAAAGGAAGCTACACTTTTTGATTTATGCAACCTGGATCGTATTTGTGGTCTATACTAGATATATTACAGCTCTATATCACAACACAAAATTTCCTCAAAGCTAATAAGCCCAGACATCAATTAAATAGGCTGGCAAACAGATAGGCCAACATAAAGTATAATTCATTAATTAATCACCACCAGCCAGCCAGCCACTGGATAACTATATTTCTAGCAAACAGAGAGAATTTCTCTTGAATAACTGAGGTCTTGCGAGAGTTAACAAATTAGACCAGGAATGGTGGCTCATGCCTGTGATCCCAGCACTTTAGGAGGCCTAGGCAGGCAATCACATGAGATCAGCAATTCAAGAACAGCCTGGCCAACATGGTGAAACCCCATCTCTACTAAAAATACAAAAATTAGCCAGGTGTGGTGATGGGTGCCTGTAAACCCAGCTACTTGGGAGGCTGAGGCAGGAGAATCGCTTGAACCCAGGAGGCGGAGGCTACAGTAAGGCAAGATTGCACCACTGCACTCCAGCCTGGGTGACAGAGTGAGACTCCGTCTCAAAAAAAAAAAAAAAAAGGAAAAAAGAGCTAACAAATAATTTTTAAAGAGGAAAGTATATTCAATTGATGGATAAGATGCAGTATACATAATTACCTTGAATTTATAGTTATAAATAATGAGCTCTGGAAAGATACATAGGGACAGAATTGAAGCATTACGACTACAGCCTAATGCAAGGTAATGCAATCATTAAACCACCAGAAATGACAACTGTTTGTTTGTTTATTTATTTATTGGAGATGGAGTCTCACTGTATCACCCAGGCCGGAGTGCAGTGGCACAATCTCGGCTCACTGCAACCTCCGCCTCCTGGGTTCAAGCAATTTTCCTGCCTCAGCCTCTCAAGTAGCTGGGATTACAGGCATCCACCACCACATCCAGCTAATTTTAATTTTTTTAGTAGAAACAGAGTTTCACCATGTTGGCCAGGCTGGTCTCAAACTCCTGGTCTCAAGTGATCTGCCTGCCTCAGCCTCCCAATGTGCTGGGATTACATGGGTGAGCCACCATGCTTGGCCGAAATGACAACATTTTAGCATTATACTTTTTTTAAAGCATACACAGTTATTTCACCTATTTTCAATTTTACAATAACATTATCATAGTTTAGTGGTTTTTAAAATAGTTCAGTAGTTTGAGGGCTGAATTTCTTCCCTCATAATGAAAATCTAGTATTATAATAAAGATAAAGGGAATTCTTCAGGATACTGCAGAAAAGGCAATTCTCTTAAAATTAATGTTTCGGAAGACTCTTGGTTGCTGTTGACATCCAGATCAACAGACACATGTTATCTTCGGATAAAACATGTTCAAACTCCTAAAAGCACAATCCATGGCTACCGGCATTTTAGAGAGCACTTCTTTGATGGGGGTACTGTGAAGTTACTCCTCTAAAAATATGCAAATGCCGGTAGAAGGTGGTGCTACGCTTTTTCTTTGTTTTGAGACAGGGTCTCACTTCGTTGCCCAGGCTAGCATGCACTATTGCAATGGTGGCTCACTGCAGTCTCCCATCTCCTGGGTTTAAGCAATTCTTCTGCGTCATCCTCCCTTCAAGTAGCTTGGACTACAGGTTTGCACCACTGTCCCTGGTAGATTTTCTTTTTTCAATAGAGAGCAAGTCTCACTATGCTGCCCACATTGGTGTTATACTCGTCAAGCCTGACTATTTGGTGGAAGAGCCTTTTTTTTTTTTTTTGAGACAGTGTCTTGCTATGTCACTCAGGCTGGAGTGCAGTGGTGTGATCTCAGCCTCCCATGTTCAAGTGATTCTTGAGCCTCAGCCTCCCGAGTAATGGGGATTTCAGGTGTGTGCCACCATGCCTGGCTTATGTTTGTGTGTGTGTGTTTTTTTTTTTTTTTGAGACGGAGTTTTGCTCATTACCCAGGCTGGAGTGCAATGGCGCAATCTCAGCTCACCGCAACCTCCGCCTCCTGGGTTCAGGCAATTCTCCTGCCTCAGCATCCTGAGTAGCTGGGATTACAGGCATGCACCACCTGTAATGTCCAGCTAATTGTTTTGTATTTTTAGTAGACGGGGTTTCACCATGTTGACCAGGATGGTCTCGATCTCCTGACCTCGTGATCCACCCGCCTCGGCCTCCCAAAGTGCTGGGATTACAGGCGTGAGCCACCAAGCCCGGCCCTATGTTTGTGTTTTTAGTAGTGATGGGGTTTCACCACGTTTCCCGGCTGGTCTTGAAGTAGGTAGGATATTTCCTTGACACCTTTGCAGGACTTGCAACAGGGTTGCCTCATTTACTCAGCCTGCAGCTCTCAACTCCTCATGGGAGGGAGCATATTAGCAAAAGAGGTGGGAACTGGAGTGCATGACTGCTGGAACTATCTGTCCACTTTGGTGCTGGTAGGGGCCAACTCCACTCACTTGGACCTGCTGCGTTCCACCCTCATGAGAGGGAGTGTGGTGAGCAGGTGTAGAAGCTGGAGTGAGTGCTTTTGAGGCCCCATGGCAGCAACTGTGGGGATTGGGGGGTGGTGCCCACAACCCCTGAAGCCTCAGAGGGCATGTTACAGTGCTTTTAGCTTTGCTGTACATGGACAGCTCAAGTGTTAACAGCTCAGTGAGCCCTTTTGGATCCGCACTTGTGGCTTCTAAGCTCTTGTCCGGCGTCCAGGAAAAATGAGGTCACACAAATTGAAAGATGGTAAATGCATGGATTTTATTGCTGACTAAATCGCTCTCAGTGGAAAGGAGAGCTAAAAGGGAGTAGGGGGTAGGTATTCTTCCCCTGAAGTCCGGCCGTCTTCAGCCAGATTCTTCTCTGAAATTACACCATCAAGCTGTTCCTCTGAAGTCAAGCCACTTCCCTCCCATGTCCAGCTGCTTCTCCTCTCTGCCGGATGAGTCTGGGTATTTATAGGCACAGGATGAGGGGGCAGGGCCATGGGTAGTTTAGGAAAAGGCAACATTTGAGTGGGAAAACAGGGATGGAAGTTCTCACTTTGGGCCTCAGTCTCAGACTTTTCGGCTTGAGGGTGGAGCTTCATCAAGGACCTGCCACTGTCTGCCTAGAGTTTCTCTGCTTCCTATCATGATCAGTCTCGAACTCCTGGGTTCAAGCAATTCACCTGCCTCGGCCTTCCAAAGTGCTGGGATTACACGAGTGAGCCACTGTGCTCAGCCCAAGGGAGAGGCATTTTTTTGTTTGTGTGAGATGGGGTTTTGCTCTTGTTGCCCAGGCTGGAGTGCAATGGCGCAATCTTGGCTTACCACAACCTCCACCTCCCAGATTCAGGTGATTCTCCTGCCTCAGTGTCCTGAGTAGCTGGGATTACAGGCATGCGCCACTACATTTGGCTAGTTTTTTTGTATTTTTAGTAGAGACGGGGTTTCTCCATGTTGGTCAGGGTGGTCTCAAAATCCCAACCTCAGGTGATCCGTCCACCTCAGCCTCGCAAAGTGTTGGGATTACAGGCGTGAGCTACTGCGCTAGCCTGGCATTTCTGACTCAGTTCTTTTTAGTCCTACAAGGAGACATGCATTCCAGCCCCAGATGATTTTTGTATTGCGTAGTCATACAGGGCAGAGCATCCAGAATTTGAAGGCACTCCGCTGAATATACTCATGTGGAAGCTGGTCTTTGAGGACCTCCTGCACCCACTGGAGGACTTGGCTTGTGATGTGGTAGTCTTGAAGTCACTGGCAATGAATATATAACCTGAACCCATACTTTAAGCCCACCAAATGGCCTTTTAAACAGATGCTATGGTGTGGCTAAAACACAATATAAACAAAAGATATGGAACTTCCTAGGAATTTGGAGAAAATATCCCCAAAGTTCCTGAGACTGACGACAACTCCATTAATGAACCAATCTTGCTATGTTGATTTCCTGTGATCAAGTCCTTCTATATGCAGGGACATCCTGAGCATTCTTGTCTTACCAAATCTGTCAACATGTTAATGCTGAATGTTGGTGAGATTGTGGGAGGCTTGACACGTATCTGGGATAATGAAGAAATGCCTGCAGGTTGTAAAAAGGAAGGGATTGACCGTACTCCTTATTACTGGGATACAGATCAGAGAAAACATGGTATATGTCATCATGGAGGATATAACTTGGGCCTAGAATTATTCTTTTTATTTTGCTAATTGTTTTATAACCACAATGAACTAGTACAGAGAATGCCCTGTACAAAACACAAAGGTTCAAACATCAAGGTGTTCCCTTAGCAAGGCTGAAAATTTCAGTCTCTGGTATTTGGAATTTAGGCTGCAGTCCTTGTTTTTGGATGGATCACTGCGTGTGTGGCACAATAGTCCATGCTTTTTTTTTTTTTTAATGAGACAGTCTCACTCTATTGCCTAGGTTGAAGTGCAATGGCCTGATCTCAGCTCAATGCAACCTCCAACTCCCAGGTTAAAGTAATTCTCCTGCCTCAGTCTCCCGAGCAGCTGGGATTACAGGTGTGCACCACCATGCCCCGCTAATTTTTGTATTTTTAGTAGAGATGGGGTTTCACCATGTTGGCCAGGCTGGTCTTGAACTCCTGACCTCAGGTGATCTGCCTGCCTCGGCCTCCCGAAGTGCTGGGATTACAGGTGTGAGCCACTGCACCCGGCCTTTTCAGTCCATGCTTTTAACCATTTGAACAGAAGAATGGCCACTTGGCTCAGGTAGAAGTAGATGAAGTGTTTGGTTTCATGTGTCACGTAGCTACCGAAGTTCCTCCCCACGACACAATGCCAGGTAGGATTGTACTTCTTGTCAAATTCCTTCTTGATATAAGCTGTAATATCTTTCTCAATGTTGTATTTCTCCAGCGCCTGAGTAGCACACTCCACTGAGTCCTGTTGCATTTCTTCTGACATATCCCCATTTGTGATCATGGCCTTTCGGTTGCACATGGTTACTGTGGAGAAGGGGGCTGGCTGACAGCAAGTCTCCTGGAGGAGGTGCTAGTGCTGCTCTAGAATCATTCTTTTTTAAAAATTATGTATGTATTTAAAATAGGGTCTCACTTGATAGCTCAGGCTGCAGTGCAGTGGCACAATTATAGCTTACTGTAACTTCGAACTCCTCTGCTTGAGATCCTCTTGCTTCAGCCTCCCAAATTGCTGGGATTACAAGTGTGAACAACTGTGTCCAGCCCTTGGGACAATTCTCTTGGATTCTGAAGTTATCACATTTGAGATGTATGCTTATACCACTGATCTGTGCAGTGCTGCAAGCCATAACTGATCACTCTTGAAGCATGAAAAAAACAGAATATGGTTCATGAAAGAAACAGGCTGCCTCTTTAAAAATAAACAAAAATGGCTGGGTGCAGTGGCTCAAGCCTGTAATCCTAGCACTTTGGGAGGCCGAGGTGGGGGAGATCACCTGAGGTCAGGAGTTCGAGACCAGCCTACCCAACATGGCGAAACTCTGTCTCTACTAAAAATACAAAAAATTAGCCAAGCATGGTGGCAGGTGCCTGTGATCCTGGCTACTTGGGAGGCTGAGGCAGAAGAATCACTTGAACCCAGGAGGCAGACGTTGCAGTGAGCTGGAAATTGTGTCACTACACCCCAGCCTGGACAAGAGCAAAACTCCATCTCAAAAAAATAGCCAAAATTTTCCCTTTCTTGTCCCACTGAGCATTACTGTTTACCTTTTTTTTTTTTTTTTTTTTTAAAGAGATGATGTTTCACCATGTTGGCCAGGCTGGTCTTGAACTCCTGACCTCGTGATCTGCCCACCTTGGCCTCCCAAAGTGCTGGGATTACAGGCGTTAGCCATCATGCCCAGCCTCCATTTTCTCTTTTTTATTCTTTTTGTTTTGTTTGAGATGGAGTCTCCCTCTGTCACCCAGGCTGGAGTGCACAGGCATGATCTTGGCTCACTGCAACCTCTGCCTCCCGGGTTCAAGCAATTCTTCTGCCTCAGCCTCCTGAGTAGCTGGGACTACAGGCGCATGCCACTATGCCCGGCTAATTTTTATACTTTTAGTAGAGATTGGGGTTTCACCATATTGGCCAGGCTGGTCTCGAACCCGCCTCCCAAAGTGCTGGGATTACAGGCGTGAGTCACTGAGCTTAACCTTCTTTTTTACTAATACCACAAAAAGTAGACCAGGCCAGGTGAGGTGGCTCAAGCCTGTAATCTTAGCATTTTGGGAAGCCGAGGCCAGCAGATCACTTGAGGTCAGGAGTTCGAGAACAGCCTGACCAACATGGTGAAACCCCATCTCTATTAAAGAAAAAATTACAAAAATTAGCCAGGCGTGATGGGGCATGCCTGTAATCCTAGCCACTTGGGAGGCTGAGGGAGAAACTGCTTGCACCTGGGAGGCAGAGGTTGCAGTGAGCTGAGATTGTGTCACTGCACTCCAGCCTAGGTGACAGAGCGAGACTCCATGTTACAAAAAACAAAGTTTTAGGTAAAGAGGTGGTACATAACTCTGTAGTTGTGAATACATTTCAGCATTTTATCTAATAATAGGTCATAATTTTGGGGTTACATATCATATGTAATTAAACAGTTTTAAATATTGGTTTAATAAACGGACTCTTGGGTTATGTATCTATTCCATCAAGTGCTATTCTTTAGGCCTGTATCATATGTTACTTTCCATAAAATTGATCTTGGAAGCTCCAGTTTTCTTCTCTGGCCTCCCATAGCACTATACTCATACTTCCTTTTTTTAAAAATAAATAAATTTTAAGCCGAAACCTCACAATCATACCTCTTTTATAGTAGTTACTTGTATTTTTTCAAAGGCCTTAATGTTCCTTAAGTTGATATTGAAATTTGTTTTATATAAGTAAAAGCTTTTAAGCAATGGGCTAAATAGAATGACTTAACTAGTAGCTTTGCCTCTATTTCTTATCTTAGGAAAAATTAAGCTCAAGACAAGTATTATACCATTTTGATGGTTTCATCCAAGTTGCTAATCAACATTTTTAATTTGTAAAGCGTTACCAAGCTAATTTACAGGCAAGTGCTTTATTACAATTAGATTAGTCAATATCTAAGCATATAATCTATTCCCATAGAAACTGTAGAGGATACTTTAAAAAACTTTTTCCTAATGTATTAGCCAGAGACTTTTTAGTTGTAATTTGGAGAAATGTAATTGAAAGTATCTTCAACAAAGAATGAGGAAGGCTCCTGAGGGAGCCCAGAGTGTTCAAAGAGGAGAAAAGCTATACCTTGATGGAATTGGGACTGCCAGAGCAGTTTTTTTGTCTCCAGCATGGATGCTTGGATCAGAAAGATGGGTTCATATTCTAGCTGTTAAGCCTTAATTTCCTTATCGGTAAGGACACACACACACACACACACACACACACTATCTATCTATCTATCTATCTGGAAACAGAGTTTCACTCTTGTTGCCCATCTATCTATCTATCTATCTATCTATCTGGAAACAGAGTTTCACTCTTGTTGCCCAGGCTGGAGTGCAATGGCACCATGTTGGCTCACTGCTTCCTCTGCCTCCTGGGTTCAAGTGATTCTCCAGACTCAGCTTCCTGAGTAGCTGGGATTACAGGTGCGCACCACCATGCCTAGCTAATTTTCTATTTTCAGTAGAGATGGGGTTTAGGTCAGGCTGGTCTCAAACTCCTGACCTCAGGTGATCTGCCTGCCTTGCAAAAGTCCTGGGATTATAGGTGTGAGCCACAGCGCCTGGCTGGGAGGATATATTTAATAATTCAATGTTGTATTAAATAAGGCAATATATTTAATAATAGCTCAGATTTCCTAATTCCATGACACTGGACATAAATTTTTTTTCCTAATTATTGACATTCATATAAGCACCTTTAATCCAAAATATTCAGGACATTACGCTACCAAATGAGTAGAATTCTTAATGTTTAAGAGCAAAGTAAATGAAACAGCTAAAACAGACAATTTTTAAAAATCCCTAAGTCAAATTAATTAGTTACATCCTGAGAATAACCTAGTTCAGCATTTGGCTTGGCAAAGAAGTTGAGTCCCGATCCATCCTGTACCAGTGCAATTCAATAGCTATTAAGTGAACCAGTTATAGAAGACATTATTTCTCCCTTTGAAGAGGCACAGTCTGAGACAAGATAAAATTAAAATGCAATGTGGGCCGGGCGTGGTGGCTCACACCTGTAATCCTAGCACTTTGGGAGGCTAAGGCAGGAGAATGGCTTGAGCTTGGGAGTTTGAGACCAGACTGGGCAATGTAGTGAGACCTCTTATCTACAAAGTTTTTTATATTAGGCTTGGAGGCACACATCTATAGTCCCTGCTACTTCAGGGGCTGAGGCAGGAGGATCATTTGAGCCTAGTAGGTCAACACTACACTGAGCTGTGTTCACACCATTGCATTCCAGCCTGGGCAACAGAACAAGATCTTGGCTCAAAAAAGAAAACAAAACAAAATCAAATTGCAATGTGATTTTTATGCATAGAATATATTAAGCACTACAGAAACACAGATGAAGAAGCAGTTAAATTTGTTTGGTAGAAGAGGAAGTTAAGGAGAGTTACCAAGGAAAGGTTATATTTAAGCCAGGCCGAAAAGGAGTGGGCAATCACCAGACAGAAGAGGGGAGAGAAAACGACATTTTAGGTAAAGGGAACAATAAGAAATATACACTCAATGGAACACTTAGGAAGAGACAGAGAATCTAAACTACACAAAGTATGCTCCAAAGAAAGGGCCCGTCTGAGAAAAAAGGCTGATTTTCTGGAATCCATGTAAGAGAAACCAACCTGCAATCTTTTGTTGGTAAAATAATTAAAAAATTCAAGAGTGATAAAGAAAATTAGCTTTATTTATGTAATTTAGAAAAACTGACTGTAGTGTTAAGAGTTTGTCAAATGTTGTCACTCTGAACAATTTACAATAGTATTTATATACAAACATAATAAAATAGAGTATATCACATTGCTTTTGCTTCAAAGTGTTTTCTCAATTCTGACATGCCCCTATCACTTCGGTTTGTAGTTTTTAACAGGGAAATACTCTGTTTTGACATAGTGCTTGATTCACACAGTGTAATACTGAATAGAAGAATCAATGATCATGAGCAGGGTTAAAAATATTTTTAACCAATATGATTTTATCATTAATCTTTTTTCTTTTGAGACAGAATCTTGCTCTGTCGCCCAGGCTGGAGTGCAGCAATGGTGCGATCTTGGCTCACTGCAACTTCTGCCTCCTGCATTCAAGCGATTCTCCTGCCTCAGCCTCCCAAGTGGCTAGGACTACCGGTGCCCACCAACACACCCAGCTAATTTTTTTGTATTTTTAGTAGAGATGGGTTTTCACAATATTGGCCAGGCTGCTCGTGATTTGCCCACCTCGCCTCTCAAAGTCCTGGGATTACAGGCATGAACCACCATGCCTCGCCTCATTAATCTTTTCTCTATAATAAAATATGTTTCATGTTAAAAAAAAATTCTTGTATTCACTGATAACCTAAATTTGTTGTAATAAGCTTGGTATTTATATAAACCCATAGTTGATTTAAATACAATATAGATATGAACTTATATTAAAACTCACTGATTAAATGTTTGCCACAAATGAAAATGAACAAAATTGGTTAAACAGAGGTAACATAAAAATCCATTTAAAAAATAGTGGAGATGCCTTATTCTATTTAAGATGAGTCAAACTTCCATTTTCTGAAGCCAATAAAAACTAAACCAAAGGATGGTGAAAAACTGTGATATCGATACCAAATTTTATGCTACACTGTAAAGCTATAATTTGTATTATTGTCACCCAGGCTGGAGTGCAGTGGCAAGATCTCAGCTCACTGCAACCTTCGCCTCTCATGTTCAAGTGATTCTCCTGCCTGACTCCTGTGTATCTGGGGATTACAGGCACCTGCTACTGTGCCCAGCTAATTTTTATATTTTTAGTAGAGATGGGGTTTCAGTATCTTGGCCAAGCTGGTCTTGAACTCCTGACCTCATGATCCACCCACCTCAGCCTCCCAAAGTGCTAGGGTTATAGGTGTGAGCCATGGCACCCGGCCAAGGCAGAATTTTAAATCAGCAATTGGGATACAATATTAGTGCAGATCATTTATGCTAGAGCCATATTTTTATCTGTCACAGTATTAAGTAGGCCACATGTGTATGAACTGTTAGAAGGAATCCATTTCATTTTTACAGCAGTGAATTGGTTAGTAAGTTTAGTTCTTTAGCACTTGCTTAAAATTCCTGGTAAGAAAGCTCCATTGTCTTTTTAAATGTAAAAAAAAAAAACCAGCCCCCCCACCAACACAAAAAAATGTTAAGTATGCTGTTGAAAAGTCACAGCTATTTAAGGTAAAACAATCAACTAGACCTCCAAGAGCACTTGTGTCTAACATGTCACTTTTGTCCCCAAAGAGAAGGAAATAATCAAGTATTAATATTAAGGTGCTTACTATTCCAAAAAAACAACATCAGATGAAACTGGTCTTTAATTGGATGCTCGAATTTTTTCCAGGACTCTTAGTATATTTAGATGTTGGTATCTTGACTTTGACACTTTCCTGATTGCCCTTTATAGCAGCCTCAAGGCGGGCTTTTAGGGCTGGAGAAGAAGCCACTAAACTTTTAAAAACAGATGAATACTGAGGTCCAATCTGCATGAGATTTTGCAGAGCAAAGTCATGTAAACTTCTCATTATGGAAGTTGCTGATCCCAGAGCATTTTCATCCAAAAGGAAAGAAATGAGGATGGGCAAAAGACAAGCCACCAGCTGAGAACCTAGAAAGTAAACAAATGATAGAAGTTCAGGGACATAAATATTTATAATATTAAGGCTGCAAATGCACTTGATCTGTATACATTTTTCCCCACTGAAGAAAACAATTCGTCCAATCTCTTCTAAATTAATACTAAATAATATCAATACTTGGGATTAACATAACACCTTTCAATGAATGTGAAATACAGATATAATGTGATTAAACATTTTGTAATTTAAGTAACAGTGAAATCCTGATTTTTGTAGAGATTCTGAGTTAGTATCAATTTAGTGCTGACACTTACGATGGTGTTCTTCAGCAACAGTAACCAGTGTTTCTAAGACCTTTATGCCTTCTTGGAAGATCTGAAGCTCAGCAGTGTTTTCAGGTTTTCTCTTGTCTATTTCCTGTAGTTTTTCCATGATACAGGATGCTAAAGAGTAAATATAAGGGTAGGAAACAGCTGGATTTGGATACTGAAAGATGGAATGTAGGAGCTGGTAGGTCTTGATTTGTACCTAATCAGGTAAGAGAAAAGAATAGCAAATACTATAAATATATTTTTTAAAAAGTACCTGAGGACTCTTTGCTCTTTAAAGTAGCAAAGGCATTTAAATTTATTTCTAATTTATCTTTAATTTTGAAAGTCCAAGGGCCAACAGGCAATCAAACTTCTGTGCTAACAGTGGTTGTGACAGTTTGGAATGGCAAAAAGGTGTATAAGTACAACAGGGAAACAAACTGAGTGGTTACTTTTTCTTCTTTTCTCTAATTCCTGTTTCTCCCCTCATGTCTTTCTCCATAATGTGAAGCAAAAACAAAAACACACCCTCCTTTAACATTTTTATGCGTAGAAAGCAAAACAAAACAAAAAAAAAACACCCAAAACAACAAAACACATACAATCCTGAAAGATATTGTTGATTTCAGAAATGTTTTAGACAAAAGTGACATATCTGATGTTCAAATGTCATGGTCTAAGTGTTTCAAGGAACCATGTCTGGACCATACTAATAATCACCATGCATCAGAGCCCCCACTTGGAGACTGATATACAAAGCTGCAGTCAACAGGCAAAAAAGACAGAGGATAAAAGGAAATGACTATACATCAAATATATAAGTCAACTTTTATTAACTGTAATGGTATTTTAATAATTATTTTTTCTGAGAGAAAACCCTGGTTCCTGTATCTTCGGGAGTAGATATATGTGTGATCATTTGTTATGAACTCAACTAGTGGCACATAAAAAATAGGACATTACTCAAGCAAATGAATGGGCCATAAAGGAATGGAATCAATTTGCATGTATTGCTTTTGGAATGGGTCCTGTTATTTCATAATCATATTACTGAAGGTATGTTCTGGAGTCTTTTTTTCTTTTGAGACATAGTCTGGCTCTGTTGCCCAGGCTGGAGTGCAGTGGCATGATCACAGCTCACTGCACCTCAAGGTCCCGGGCTCAAGTGATCCTACTGCCTCAGTGCCCCTGAGCAGCTGGGACGACAGGCCTGTGCCACCATGCCTTGCTAATTTTTTTGTTTTTTGTAGAGATGGGTTCTCACCATACTGCCCAGGCTGCTCTTGGACTTCTGGTCTCAAGCAATCCACCCACCATTTCCTACCAAGTGCTGGATGGAATTACAGGCATGAGCCACCACAGTGCTCGGCCTCCCTTTCTCTCTCTCGTTTTTTTGTTTTAAAGAAAATCCACTATAATACACTACCAAATATCTTGCAAGTCCCTTATAAAGTTCTAGTGCTACATCAATCTTAAGACTCCTCCATTTCAAATTTAGTTTTTTAACATTTCCTCTTCTGCCACTATCCTCTACCCTTAGGGCTGAAGAACAAGACTACTGTTATTGGGCTCTGTCACTCTAGGAACAGAAATTAATCCAAATCTAAAAACAAAAATTTACAGTCTAATACTTCCTATTGGAGTCAACAAATCACAAATAAAATTTTGCAAAAGCCTAGCCATAGTCCTATCACAAACATCTTTCTGTTAAAAGACACTTACCATAGGATCTTTTATCTCAAGAGTAGCTTTAAATTTATCAATACAGCGCTTCTGAAGGCATGGGATGGTAGTTACTTCTGGACTGGTAGACAAAACAAACACTGTGATAGCAGTAAGTAGACTGACTTCATCAAGTTCTTGGTGTGTTTCATCAACTAAAAAGAAAAGTTCTATTAGAAACAGATCATATAGACTGCTTTATACACCTGCATCAAGTTGTCTTCAGTTTGGTAGTAACAGTTTTGTATACACAATAGACACAATGAATGCTGATTAAGAACTCTGGCAAATGTACATTTTAAGATGTGCATTATAAATAATTCTAGAGCTAAGAACTACTAAAGTAATGATAATCTTTAAAGGAAAAGACATCAGTAAATATATACATTTACTAGGAATACATACTTATTAGTTGTGTGACTTTGGACACCTAAATCCATCTTCAGTTTTCTCATCTGTAAAATGGGAATAATAGCAGCACTCACACTGATAGGGTTATGAAGATTAAATAAGTTAATCTATGTGAAGCATTTAGAATAGTATGCTACACTTGATGATCACTATATGTTACCTATCATGTTAATTATTTTTGCTGTGAAGCAACACAGAAATGCTTGGATAATTATATTTTCTTTGTTAAAGTATTTTGATAATACATGTATCAAGTGAAAATACCTTAGCACTTTACACATATGATTTCTCAAAAGTAGAGAAAAACCTGAAAACAGCTGTGTAGGCCACAATCATTTGAAGAAATTTTTTATTAGAAGTAATCTACCTTTATTTTCCAGTCATATTCTCATTAAATAATTTTAATGAAGCTGCTGTGGAAAAAAAATCACTGCATTTCAAAAAGGAAAGGTGTGGCAAATTCAACTACTTGAATTTTTTTTTTTTTTTAGATGGAGTTTCACTCGTTACCCAGGCTGGAATGCAATGGCGCGATCTCGGCTCACCGCAACCTCCGCCTCCTGGGTTCAGGCAATTCTCCTGCCTCAGCCTCCTAAGTAGCTGGGATTACAGGCACGGGCCACCATGCCCAGCTAACTTTTTGTATTTTTAGTAAAGACGGGGTTTCATCATGTTGACCAGGATGGTCTCCATCTCTTGACCTCGTGATCCACCAGCCTCGGCCTCCCAAAGTACTGGGAATACAGGCTTGAACCACCGCGCCCGGCCAACTACTTGAATTGTTTAAGGATAGCTTGTTACTTATGAAGAAATGACATACATTGTAGCTTTGGTCACATTCATTCAACAAGTACCTAAGTGTGCCAGCCCTCTTTTAGGCACATCTTATAGAGAAGATACATTATAAACTGAGAAGCAAATAAAGACTTTCAGCTAGTGTTAAAGTCTAAGCATATAAAAATATATTACAAAACTGGCCGGGCATGGTGGTTCACGCTTATAATCCCAGCGGTTTGGGAGGCCGAGGAGGGCAGATCACTTGAAGTCAGGAGTTTGAGATCAACCTGGCCAACATGGTAAAACCCCGTCTCTACTAAAAATACAAAAATGGGCTGGGAGTGGTGGCGGGCCCCTGTCATCCCAGTTTCTCGGGTGGCTAAGGCAGGAGAATCACTTGACACCGGGGAGGTAGAGGTTGCAATGATCTGAGATTGCACCACTGCATTCCAGCCTGAGTGGAAAAGGAAGACTGTCTCAAAAACAAAACAAAACAAAACACCCCACCACATCAGGAACAGTGGTGCATGTCTGTAGTCCCAGCTACTTGAAACACTGAGGTGAAAGGACTGGTTGAGCACAGGAGATTGAGGCTACAGTGCACAATGACCGTGCCTATGAATAGACACTGCCCTCCAGACTAGGCAACATAGCAGGTCCCGTCTCTTTAAAACAAACAAACAAACAACATAGAAAGTAACCCAGGACAGTCTATACTGGGTGGTCAGAGAAAGCCTTGAGGAGATAATATCTGAGCTGACTACACTCCAGAGGCACAGTAGCAATGAAAGCAAACTTTTATGGATGAATAAGATTTATTTAATACAAGATGGGAATGATTTTTTTTTTTTTTTTGAAACAGAGTTTTGCTCTTGTTACTCAGGCTGGAGTGCAATGGCGTGATCTCGGCTCACCGCAACCTCCGCCTCCTGGGTTCAAGCAATTCTCCTGCTTTAGCCTCCTGAGTAGCTGGGATTACAGGCGCGCGCCACCATGCCCAGCTAATTTTTTGTATTTTTAGTAGAGACGGGGTTTCACCATGTTGACCAGGATGGTCTCGATCTCTTGACCTCGTGATCCACCTGTCTCGGCCTCCCAAAGTGTTGGGATTACAGGCGTGAGCCACTGCGCCTGGCCAAGACATGAATGATTTTAAGGTAAAATAAGTACACAGTTAATATTTAAAATTAACATGTAGCAGTGTTACAAGCACCTTATATACATTAAATAATTAATCAACATGGGTTAACAGCACCATGAGGTAGGTAGTCTTACATCCCCCATTTTATGGACGAGAAACAGATATTCAGTCATTTGTCCAAGTCACACAATTAGTAAGGCAGAAATTTTGATTATAGAGTGTACTGTTAACTACAATGCTATACTGCTTCCCTTACAGAAAAGTTATTTTTAACCACTTACAGCAACTTGAAACTGCAACAGAGTCAGCTAATCTGTTTGGTAAAAATGTCTTTTTATTCTCAGGAAGATAAAGTTCTCCTGGGTTCCTCTTACCATTTCTTCTAAAATCCCTTTAGTTTTTATCTCTTTTACCTAGGATAGATGCAAGATTCACTTAGCATTAGCCCCACGAAAAGCCTATGTGGCAGAAACTGAGGCCTCTTGCCAATAGCCATATGAATGAGTCATCTCCACCTAGCTAAACTGCTCCTAATCCTGGGCCCATAGAAACTGTCAGATAATAAGTGTTTGCTCTTTTAAGCCACTAAGTTTTGGGGCAATCTGTTGGGTAGCAAACATTTAACATTTAATCTGTCATGATCAACTCCTTAATTTCTCTCAGTAGCTAGTCTAAATCCTAAATCCTGTTGTAGTTCAATTCCCTGATACACATCCAAATAAAAAACACCCACCCTTTTGTGTGTGTGTGTGTGTGTGTGTGTGTGTGTGAGAGAGAGAGAGATGAAAGAGGCAAACTCATCATAACCCTCAACATGAATTATTTTTATTTGTAGAGATAGTATCTTGCTGTGTTGCCCACGTTGGTCTTGAACTCCTGGCCTCGAGTGGTCCTCTTGCCATAGCCTCCCAAAGTGCTGAGATTATAGGCTCGAGACATATTGATTGGCCAACTCTCAACATAAAAACCTGTAGTTATATTATTTTCCATCATTATTTCCTGTTCTTTCCTCATATTGGCAGAGGTCAATCCTTTTAAATGTCTGTAAATTTTATTCCTTCTGCCTGGACAGGGATGCTGCTTTCCTTTGTAATACTTCTAACTCCAACCCATGTCCACCTCCTTTTTACCCCCTGTAAATAGGAACTCATGCTTGAGTGTCATCTTTAAAAAAGTTATTCCTTGACCTTACACTTTCTGTTTAGCTATTTCTCTTCTTCCTGTCAAGAGAAGCCTGTACTTGATCTTTCCCATTCCTTACACCTCATTTGTGCCTCAACACTTGAGCTCTGTCCCCTATGCTGTTTGGCCGCTCTACAATATTTTATACTGTTGACCACTCCTTCTCTATTAAAAACTCTCTTTTCTTTGGTTTCTGTAACTACACATTATCTTCTGAATTTCTCATCTTGATTTTGGTCCTCTTGTTGCTCCATAAACTCAAGTTGGGTGATTTCAACTGTCCCACAGGTTACGCTGACAGCTCCCAAATATATATATAGTCCAAAAAGTATCTCTAGCCCTGACTACTTTCTTGAATTCTGCACCTCTACCCATCTGCTCCAGGGCATTTGATGATCCTCTAGGCATTTCAAATCAACTCACTATCTTCTCCTAAAAACCCTCACTGGTTATTTCTATTAATCGTATTTGAATGCTCAAGTCATCCTACCCTTTCAACTCCTAAATCAAACTATCAGTAAGTTCTGTTGAAAAATGCTTAACATTTTACTTTTCATAATTTTACTCCTCTTTATCTATACCACTTAAAAATTTTTTTATACCATTTTTTTAAATTTTAGAGACTGGGTCTTGCTATGTTGCCCAGGCTGGAGTGTAGTGGCTATTCACAGGCACGATCCTACTACTGATCAGCACAAGAATTGTGACTTGCTCTGTTTCCGACCTGGGCTGGTTCACCCCTCCTTAGGCAACCTGGTGGTCCCCCACTCCTGGGAGGTCACCGTATTGATGCTGAACTTAGTGCAGACACCCGAACAGCTTAGTGCACTACAGTCCAGAACTCCAGGGCTCAAGCAATCCTCCCACCTCAGCCTCCTGAGTAGCGGGGACTACAGGCATGTGCCACTGCACCAGGCTATCCATACCACTTTATCTATTTACTCCTCTTCAGTCCCAGCTGCTTGGGAGGCTGAAGCAGAAGAATTGCTTGAACGTGGAGGTTGCAGTGAGCTGAGATTGTACCACTGCACTCCAGTCTGGTAACAGAGACAGACTCCATCTTAAAAAAAAAAACAAACAAAAAAACCAAATCTGAGCGTATTACTTCCCTTCTTAAAACCCTTTCATGATTCCACATGCCTAATAAAGGCAGTCCAAATCATCCCAAACCCTCCATAATATGACCCCATCTACCATCCAACTTCATTTCTCTACTAATCGCCATTCACCATTCTTATACTCTTCTATCCAAATCCACACTCCCTCATTGTTCTACTTGCTTCCCTAGCTATAGTTTTCCAAGTTTTTGGACAAACTGTTGTACCTAGAATCCATTTCTTTTCTTTTTTTTTTGAGACAGAGTCTTGTTCTGTTGCCCAGGCTGCAGTGCAGAGGTGCGATCTTGGCTTACTGCAATCTCCGCCTCCCAGTTTCAAGCGATTCCTAGAATCCATTTCTACAATGTCCATGTGGAGAAAACTTTGTAATCCTTTAAGACTGATTCTTCTCAGAGAATCTAGCGGTGGATACAGAGATGCCACTGAGATTCCCTATAAGGGAGAACGTGCTGCCCAGCTGTGGGAAGTGTGAACAAGGGTTAAGCTCCTTTTGGGTCAGCTTCAGCTAGAGATAGCTGTCCTACCTGAGATCAAATCCTTCCTGGAGCAGCCCATATTAGAAGTCCAGGCCATTTCTGTCATATGTTAAGACACTCTGATGGACAATATGGCTCCAGAGCGCCCCAGACTGGTTTACTGAGATTTGTTGGGAAACTGTCACAGTTTGACTTCTTTTGCCCAATATTGCCTTCCCCTCCCTCTTCCCTTCACAGATGTTGTTTCTTAATAAACTTCTCACTCCCCTAACTCCCTGACAGTGAGTACTTTTAGAGAATCCTATTTGTGACACTCTACCTGATTTCACTCAAATAGTACTAATTACTCCCATTTTCTGTAAACCAATTAGAAGTTTTCTTTATTGTACCAGAAATGCAGTGATAATTAAGACATTACTATTGTCTTTGGGAGATTCTTAAGGTATTAATCACACTCTATAGAAATTTATAGGAGCCAAACTCCTCTAGATTTCCAACTTTGCGCAAAGGGGGTGGTCAATAAATGCCGATTTCAGTTGAAAACATTTTGTGTGTAAAACCAAATATGGCTAATTGTAACATTTATAAACAAAACTGGGAAGGCAGGGAAAATGTATAATATGTCTAAAGACTTTTTATAATCACTACAATATACGAATGAAAATAAAAACCTCACAAAATAAGAGAAATTTTAATGGATGTTGAAAATAATACTGGCTATTATTTATTGATATATGCCAGGTAATAAGTGAGATGTTTTCACATATTAAGTTACTGCTCTTACAATTTCTTGCCACATAATATCCCCATTTATTAATAAGAAAACTAAGGTGCAGAAAAACTGGGTAAGTTGGTGAGTCACCAGGCATAATGAACCAGATTGGTCTTTTTGTATGGCTTACATACTTTTCAGTATACTGTATTAAACACTTCTGTTGGCCAGAATGGATCATACTACATTTTTTTACTAAACATACTATTACATCTGAAGGTCTTTCACTGTCAGCATATCAGTTGCCTGACATTTAACTGCATTAAGGGCTAAAATCAGAACACAACTTTTCTATTTTATTTTTTTGAGACAAGAGTCTTGTTCTGTCACCTAGGCTGGGGTGCAGTGGCATGATCTCAACTCACTATAAGCTCTGCCTCCTGGGTTGAAGCAATTCTCCTGCCTCAGCCTTCCATGAGCTGGGACCACAGGCATGCATTACCACAACTGGCTGATTTTTGTATTTTTAATAGAGATGAGGTTTTACCATGTTGGCCAGGGAGGCCTTGAACTCCTGACCTCAAGTGATCTGCCAGCCTCGTCCTCCCCAAGTGCTGGGATTAGAGGTGAGCCACCGCGCCTGGCCCCAGAACACAGCTTTCTTTTTGTTTTTTGAGATCGAGTCTCGCTTTTTTATCCAGTCTGGAGTACAGTGGCATGATCTTGGCTCCCTGCAACCTCTGCCACCTGAGTTCAAGCAATTCTCCTATCTCAGCTCCTGAGTAGCTGGGATTACAGGCATGTGGCACCACACCTGGCTGAGTTTTGTATTTTTTAGTAGAGACAGGGTTTCACCATGTTGGCCAGTTGGTCCCGACCTCCTGACTTCAGGTGATCCACCTGCCTTGGCTCCCAAAGTGCTGGGAGTACAGGTGTTAGCCACCGTGCCCAGCCAACTTTCTATCTACTTGTACATATCCTCTAAACACTAGTATTGAATATGGTTTCCTCTAGGTGATATGGCCAAATATGATCAAGTCAACTATCTTATCCTCAAAAAACTCTTCTCACTTTTTAAAACAAACGGAACTGCTTCCACACAGCCTTAATTACCTGGGTCCCAACAGTCAAGAATTGTTGTTAAAGCACTTCGAAGAAGGTCAGTCCAAGCAGTATAGCTCTTTTCTGCCTGGGCCATTGGAGAAGATAGTATTCCTTTTAGAGCCTGTAGGGAAGCTGCAACTGTTGAAGATAACTGGCCCCCAGGTAACTTCACAGCAGTCTCTCTGAGGACCCCAATTGTGAGGTACAATATAGTAGGGAGAACTGAGATGCTTCCTGTAAGATACAAAACTTTTAAAAACACACTGGATTTTAAGATACATATATATATATTATATAATATATATATAGTTCCTAAAAAGAAATCATCCCGGAGTAAGACGTTATATTTTGAGCTTTTAAAAGATGATTTCTAATAAAGAATTATAATTGTTAAAATAATGTAAGTAGCTTTATTAAAATTTTTAAGGATGGATTAAGGATTGATGGTTATAAATGGAGATGATGTTTAAATTGTATGAGTATCACTACGCTTTTGCTGTTTTTGTTTTATTTGGCAGTTGATAAATTTATTTTCATTTATTGTTTACCATGGTAAAATACATATAACATAAAGCTTATCATTTTAACCACTTTTAGTGTACAATCCAGTGGCATTAAGAACATTCACAATGTTGCCTGGGCAACACAGTGAGACTTCATCTCTACCCTTTAAAAAGGGTCATTCCAGATCAAATAACCTGGTAGCAGAGAACAAGGATGAACAATGAAGCCTCCTGGGTTTAGGATTTACAAAGAAGGAATCGAGAAAAGGTAACAATTTAGCAAAGTCACACAGAACCTTAAATGCTATGTTAAAGAGTATGGACTTGCTGGGCATGGTGGCTCACAACTGTAGTTCCAGCACTTTGAGATGCCAATGAGGGAGGATCACTTGAGGCCAGGAGTTCAAGACCAGCCTGGACAACACAGCAAGATCCCAACTCTACAAAAAATTTTTTTTAAAAGCCAGGTATGATGGCACAGGCCTGAGTCCTAACTACTCAGGAAGCTAAGGCAGGAGGATTGTTTGAGCCCTGGAGTTTGAGGTTACAGTGAACTATGATTGTCCTACTGCATTACAGCCTAGCTGACAAGAGAAAGTACTTGTGTCAAACAACAAGAAAAAAAGAGTATGAGTCAATCCTAAACAGAACTAGATATAATGACAAACTTCTGCCATCACTGAGGCTGGAAAAGTCTGTCAGAAATTATATGCCAAAACATGCCCAAGCATTAATAACGGCCACTGACTAGTCAGAAGTTCTGTCAATCATAGAAGAGCGTATCTATTTATAATATTTGTTGTCTCTATCTTTTCACTCTTTTTTTTTTTTTAAGACATAATTTCATTCGTCACCCATGCTGAAATGCAATGGTGCTATCTTGGCTCACTGCAAACTCCACCTCCTGGGTTCAAGCGATTCTTCTGCCTTAGGCTGACTAGCTGGGATTATAGGCATGTGCCATCACGCCTGACTAATTTTGTATTTTTAATAGAGATGGAGTTTCACCACGTTCATCAGGCTGGTTTAGAACTCCCAACCTCAAGTGATCCACCCAACATGGCCTCCCAAAATGCAGGGATTACAAGTGTGAACCACCACGCCTAGCCCTCTATATTTTCACTCTTTTAGTAAAACAATTTATTAAAATGTAATCCTAATCTTAGAGGATTAAAGACAATACTCAAATGTTTGGATCAGCATTCATTTAAAAAGAAAGCAGCTAGACTCCATTATCCATTAAAACCATTTCTCTTCTAGGTCAAGTAAATCAATCACATACCACAGCATACCTTCAGGAGAGCACACTGCAGGAAGTTCAGAAAGGATAACCAACGCAGCTGAAACCAATCTACTTCCATCCTCTGATAGCATCTGTGGCTTTGTAGCTTTTACTCCTGGACTACCTGTCAATTTAGGATTTAGTTCTGGGAGCTGTCTAACTAGAATGCATACACACAATTCCAGTGTTGCAAACACCAAAGACTTCCCAGGCACAAGTCCTCCGGTGTCCTTTCCCTCTCCAAACTCTGGCAGAGTTTCCTTTTCAGCAGCTCCATCATCAACTAAAAGACAGAAAGAATAGTGTTTAATAAATACTTTATACTTGCTTTGCTTCTGGTAGATGGCAATTTAGTTCAATCCTGTTACAGGTAATACATTTATTTTATTTTAATTTTTGTGAGATGGAGTCTCACTCTGTCACCCAGGCTGGAGTGCAGTGGTGTGATCTTGGCTCACTGCAACCTCTGCTTCCTGGGTTCAAGCAATTCTCCTGCCTCAGCTACCCAAGTAGCTAGGATTATAGGCGTACACCGTCATGCTTGGATCATTTTTGTATTTTTAGTAGATACAAGGTTTCACCATGTTGGCTAAGCTGGTCTTGAACTATTGATCTCAAATGATCCAACCGCCTTGGCCTCCCAAAGTGCTGGAATTACAGGCATGAGCCACCACACTCAGCCAGGAAATACATTTAATGACTAAATTTTGGGTGTTAAAAGACTCAAGAGAGAAAGAAGTTATGAAGGTAAAAGTAATCATCTTTATTATGACTTCTTATTGCAATAGGTCAAAAGAAGTCTTTTTAATTCTGTCACCCTTACAATATCGCCTGGTTAACTCCTTCTTGCTATCAAGACTGTAAACCTGATAGCTAGAGCTCCAGAAATTACCTTGTGACCTTAGGTATTGATGGTGGCTTGGCAGAAAGAAACTTATGTCCTTAACATCTTTAAGAAGATACCATACCAGCCCTAGACTGCCTACCTCTGGCTGCCTTTTCAGATGAGCAAATACATCTTTGGGATTTAAATCCACTGTTATATTGGGTTTTCTAAAATATGTAGTCAACTATAATCTTAAGTGGTAAACTATTTAATACCATATTAGACTTGTAAATGAACAATCTGCAAAGGTAAGTTCTTTCCATTCACATTGGTAAACACAGCTAAAGCAAGTATTCTGGTAGTGTAAGGGATTTATTTCTTCCAGATTTTGTTAAAATTCTCATTTCCCCAAAAGAATAGTAGTTTAAATACTGACAATATCTAAACTAACATAGAGGTAAATGAGAGGATTTAAAGCCATGCCAGGTAAGGCGTGGTGCCACATGCCTGTAATCCCAGCCCTTTGGGAGGCTGAGGTGGGTGGATTGCCTTAGTCCAGGAGTTTGAGAGACTAGGCTGGGCAACACGGCCACACCCTGTCTCTACTAAAAAATACAAAAACTTAGCCAGGCACGGTGGCGTGTGCCTGTAGTCTCAAGTACTCAGGAGGCTAAGGTGGGAGAATCGCCTGAGCCTGTAAGGGTGAGGATGCAGTGAGCCAAGATCGTGCCACTGCACTCAAGCCTGGGCAACCTGAGTAAGACCCTGTCTCCCAAAATAAATCAATAAAGCCATGCATAGACAGTACTTTCAGGGATCACTTCTATAGTTTATTACTAGGTAAGTTTCTCTAAATGTAGAGCACAGAAAGTAAAATAAGGCCATGCCTAGACATGTTTTATTTGTACCACACACAAAAGATTATGAAAACCATATAGATACATTAAATAATACTTCACAAAAGAATGATGCTATTTGGTTAACTTGGCATTAAAGATTAACATTTACCTTCTGCACTTCGTCTTTTTTCCTTCACATGTTCTTGAGCAGCACAGATAATCTGCCTTACCACTTCAAGTGAAGCCAATTGAATAGAAGGTGATTCTCTGGTCAAAATTACTCGATGTAGAACATTTAGCAATTCTACACCCAAGTCCTATCACAGAAAATATGTAGAGGACACTGTATTAGAAATTATACATTTCTTCTGTAAAAAATACAATGCTAAATGCCATGAAAAAATTCAGAAAAAGAGAATGTAACAAATTGCTCACAAAAAAACGAAAGTATTAGTACAATAAAGTAGCACTTGCTCCATTTTAAATCAACTCCAGAGGCCAGGTGAGGTGGCTTACACCTATAATCCCAGCACTTTGGGAGGCAGAGGTGGGTGGATCACATGAAACCACAAGTTCGAGACCAAGCCTGGCCAACATGGTGAAACCCTGTCTCTACTAATAATACATAAATTACCCAGGCGTGGTGACAGTTATCTGTAATCCTAGCTGCTCAGGAGACTGAGGCAGGAGAATCACCTGAACCTGGGGGGCAGGAGAGTACAGAGATTGCAGTGAGCTGAGATTGTGCCACTGCACTCCAGCCTGGGCAACAAGAAGACTTTGTCTCAAAAATAAATAAATAAAAATTAAAGAAAAAATCAACTCCAGATTGCGTTCTGTCAAATCTTGTGGGAGATGGTGTTATGACAAAAGATCATTTTCACACAAAACAGAAAAGGAAATTTCTAAAACAAGATGGGAAATTTGGCTAAAAGAATATATGACTGACATGTAGATTCACAGATTTATATTATTAAGAGTGTTTTCTAGTAATAATAAATAATGAGGGAGAAGTAACGACTTTAAAAGTAATTGTGAGCAAATAAGCATAGAATGACTACACAATAAAATATACTATAGAAATATTCCATTTTCTCTTCTCTCTTATATTGATTAGTCTTGGTTGCTTTCTTTCATCTTTGAAAATAATAAAGTAAATCTGTCATTATAATACTTGTTTTAACAGAGAAAACAAGCACAAAGGGTTTAAGATTTATTCAAGTCCAATCCAAGTCAGCAACCTTTAAATCTAATAAAAGTTAGTATTAAACACTTAAATAACAGACAGTCTGTGGAAAGGAAATCATACTACTCATTTATCTTAACATCCAAGTGTCAATAACAAAAGTAATATACTGGATAAAACATGAGTATCTGCCCAATGCATACTTGCCCTTGAGAAAAGCAGTCAAAGAAGTACCATACTTTGTACAGGAATCCTTTTCCTATGGCCACATCCAAGTTGGATATTAGTGCCAGACTCCATCTATAGGCTAGTAAGCAATCTCTTAAAAAGACCTGGAGGGAGAACTCAGCCAATTGGAGTACTTTGTAATGGACAGTAAGTACATCAACTCATTAGATTCTCTCTTGGAGAATGGAATATAAGATATAGGTATATATACAAAGAACAGGGTATGCAGAAGCAAAAAGAAACAAAGAATAAATGTCACATGTAACTAATGGCTACTGTCCTGGACAATGCAATACAGAACCTTCCCATCACTGCAGAAAGAAGCAGAGACAGAAAAGTGGCAGAGTCACTTTTGTGCATGACTGCTTCTGGGTCAATACATATGTTATGGCATTCTGGTTCAAAGGCCTAGCTGTGCGGCTGTACAGTTTTTAAAAAAATTTCTCTGCGTTTACTTTCTGTTAACTATAGAAACCTGAACATGTTTCTCTTCCTTAAAGTCTGCAGAAGCCTTACCAAAAACAAACAAACAAACAAACAAACAAAAAAAAACCCAGAGAAATCACCTGATCACTGCCAATTTTTGATCTGGGCCAAGGTACATCTAGAAGTGCCTGCAATGCATGTAAACAAGCAGTTATGCTTTCCATAGTTGCGTCTGAACGTAAGGAACATAGAAATTCCACGCTGATTCCTGTGGAAACCAAAAAAGAGGAGGCTTCTTTCAAATTATTAGTTTATGAAATTAAGTAATTAATCTATTATTTTGGTAAGATATAAACACAGTAAGAAGGTAATGCAAATAAATCACAATGAATTGAAGATTAAACAATTAAATGACAAAGCAAGTCACTTAATAGTTTGTTTCTATCTACATGTACAAAAATAATAATCTAAACAAGGCCTGTGCACTAGTTGCTTAGTTGCTATGAAACAGTTCAAAGCTGCAAAAATTACAATAAAATTGCACCAGAAAACATATGGAGTTCCTAACTTTACTTTGGCTAAAATTAATTGAGTGATTGTCATGTATCAACCACTGTGCTTTTACATACATCTTTTGATTAAATTCTCCTAATAGTTGAAAAGTAGGCACTATTATTGACACTAATTCTGAGATAGATGAGCAGAGACCTAAACTAATTTATATATTATTTTTAATTGACAATAATTGTGAGCTTTAGTAATTTAATTTGTTCAAGGTCAGTCATAATTAGGTGCATCAAAAATCTGAACTCAGTTGAATTGAATAGCTTATGCTTGTAGTAAATCTGCAATCCTTCATTCTATAAAAGTTTGTTTTTAAAAAGCTCTCATCCTATGGCAACTGAAAACAAGTTTTTAATATGCTCAAGATACAGGAATCTGGTCATGTCTGGCCTGGGAATGAATAATAGAAACCCAGGAACCATAATCTTACTTAATTTAATCATTTACTTTTAAAACCTCATTTAATCAATAACTTCTTGATAAGTAATGGTCATATAGTTTGTTTTCTCAGAAATAGGTTAAGTATGTTAAAAAATGTATTCCATTTATTCTAGAAGCTCACTGAATTATCTTAGAAATATATCTCATGTTTAAAATAAAGTTCCAAGAAGGCTAAAAAATGAGCTAATTAAGCATCATAAATCTAAAAATCTTATTTTTATCTTTAATATTTGCTTGCAATATTAAGCATGTTTTCTAGAACCTTCCAATCTTTGACAACAAGGGGGAAAACCTCAGTATATTGATATTTTATATATATCTAGAGAGACAGAAGTTGCCAGGCATGGTGACTCAAACCTGTAACCCCAGCAAGTGGGAGGCCAAGGTGGGTGGATCAGGCCAGGAGAACAAGACCAGCCTGGGCAACACAGCAAAATCCTGTCCCTACAAAAAATAATTAGCAAGGGGTGGTGGTATATGCCTATAATTCTAGCTACTCAGGAGGCTAAGGTGTGAGGATTACTTGAGCTCATGAGTTGGAGGCTGCAGTGAGCTATGATCATGGCACTTTACTCCAGCCTGGGCAACAAAATAAGATCCTATCTCTAAAAATAAAATAAGGCTAAATTAAAGAATAACCCCTCCAGGGTTGTATAAGTGGTTTAACTGACCTAAAATAAGATGGAATCTATCAGTGTAGACATCCTCAGGGGACTTTATGGTAGCCCCAGATGATGAACCCTGACACATGGAAGTTGGTGTTACAGGCCTGGAGAGATGAGATGCTCCTTCATCTGGGTCAGCAACAACAAAGCCCGTGCTTGTAAGCCACAATGCTGTAGCATGGAGGATAAGCGCCCAAGAGTTGTAATAATGCAATTTTGCATTTTCACTAGTCTCTGCTGTGTAAAAAGCACCACCTAAAGCAGACAGTTTCAGGAGAAATAAAAGAGATTAGCTTCCAATATATTTTCTCTTTTTTCTGTTGCAAGATATAGACCATTTCCATCAATCTGAAAGTTCCTTTGTACCCTTTTTTAGTCAGTTCCCTATACTCTAAGGCAACAACTTTCTAATTTTTATCAGCACAGATTAATTCTGCCTATTCTTGAACTTTATATAAATAGAATCACATATATAGTATCTACTTGTTTGTAACTAACATTTTGTTAACAAAATAACAACATTTTTAGAGATTCATTCATGCTGCTATGTTATCAATATTTTGTTACCAATGTTCTTATTTTTCCTGGGAGTAAAACTGATAGGTCATAGGGCTGATCATAAAAAGTTTGCAGCCTAATTTGTATCTTTTTATAATTCAATCATAAATATTTTAAAACAAAATATATGTATATGTGTGATTAAAATAAATACCAATACACATTTAACCACTTCTAAGATGGACATGAACATTTCTGATTTTCTTAAGTATCTCTCTTTTTTTTTAAAATTCAGAGTCTCACTCTGTTGCCCACGCTGGAGTATAGTGGCATGATATTGGCTCACTGCAACCTCCAACTTCTGGGTTCAAGTGGTTCTCCCACCTCAGCCTTCTGAGTAGCTGGGACTACAGGTGTGCACCACCACGCCCAGCTAATTTTTTGTATTTTAGTAGAGATGGGGTTTCACCATGTTGCCCAGGTTGGTAGTGAACTCCCAAGAGCTCAGGCAATTTGCCCACCTTAGCCCGCACAAGTGATAGGATTACAGGCATAAGTCTCAGCACCCAACCAATTTTTTCCTTAAAAAACCTAAGAGTTTGTTATGCCACTAAATCTTGCTCCTCCTTCCATGACTACTTTTCTCAAGTCAGTAAGAATGACTCCTAGATATGGTCTTATACTTTCACAATAATGTATGTATTCAATAATAACACATGCTATTATTTTTTGTATTTAAAAGTTTACTTAAAAGGCATCATACTTTATGTATCCTTTTTGTTTTTTTAGATGGAGTCTCATTATGTTGTCCATGTTGCCCCTAAACTCCTCAGCTCGAATGACCCTCCTACTTCAGCCTCCTGAGTAGCTGAGACTACCGGCGTGTACCACCATGCCTGGCTTACATGCATCCTTTATTACGCATCCAGAACTTTACAGGCTCATCCTAAAATTCCTATCAAAAAGTAGGCAGATCACCTGAGGTCAGGAGCTCGAGACCAGCCTAGCTAACATGGAGAAACCCCATCTCTACTAAAAACACAAAAATTAGCTGGGTACGGTGGTGTACACCTATAGTCCTAGCTACTCAGGAGGCTGAGGCAGGAGAATTGCTTGAACCTGGAAGGTGCAAGTTGTAGTGAGTGAGATCAAGCACTCCAGACTGGGCCACAGAGCCAGACTCCATCTTAAAAAAAAAAGTTTTTTTTCACTTAACATTATGTTTTTAAGATTTACTTATAGTTGCTGTATGTCTGTCAATTCATTTTTCTGTTGTGTAAATAAATAAGTTGATTTTTATTTTGTTTCCACTTTTATGCTACTGAAAAGTACAACAAAGACTCCACATATCTTTTTGTGCATAATTCCAATGAAAATTCTAATAGAACCAGGCTGGGCACCATGATGTACACCATAGTCCCAGCTGCTTTGGAAGGTGAGGTGGGAGGATCACTTGAGCCCAGGAGTTCCAGGCTATAGTGCACTATGATTGCTCCTGTGAACAGTCATTGCACTCCAGCCTGGGCAACCCAGCAAGACCTTGTCTCTAAAAACAAACATACCAACAAACAAACCAAATAGACACACACAAAACTAACAGAACTTTACAGGCTCATCCTAAAATTCCTATCAAAAAGTAAAAATACAGGCTGGGTGTGGGGGCTCACGCCTATAATCCCAGCACTTTGGGTGGCTGGATGGGTGGATCACAAGGTCAAGAGATCGAGACCATCCTAGTCAACAAGGTGAAACCCCGTCTCTACTAAAAATACAAAAATTAGCTGGGCATGGTGGTGCATGCCTGTAGTCCCAACTACTCGGGAGGCTGAGGCAGGAGAATTGCTTGAACCCAGAAGGCAGAGGTTGCGGTGAGCCGAGATCATGCCATTGCACTCCAGTCTGGGTAACAATAGCGAAACTCCATCTCAAAAAAAAAAAAAAAAGTAAAAATACAATGATAGCCAAGACATTGTGGAATAACATGAAGAAGATTAAGGGTGGCTACAAAGTAACCAACCCATAAAATGCAGTATTAGTAACTGACTAAAAATAAGAATCCTATCCCCATTCCACACACAAAATAAATTCCAGTTCTACCATAGTTCAAAATGTAGAAGGCAAAACTGTAAAGCTTGTATGTCTTTATGATCTTACGTTTAAAAATATATCTGGTAACATACAAAAACATAAACCATAAACGAGTGATCGATTGCATTCCTTTTTTTTTAAGAGAGGGACTTGCTCTGTCACTCAGGCTGAAGTGCAGTGGCACAATCATAGCTGCCTGCAGCCTCCAACTCCTGGGCTCAAGGGATCTTCCCACATCAGCCTCCCCAGTAGCTGGGACTACAGGTAAACTACATCACACTCAGCTTACATTAGTTTAAAAAAGGTAAAAGAAAAGGACAAGTTACAGGCTAAGAGGAAATACAAGACATGCAACCATAAAGGAACAGTGTTGTGTATATATATACACACAAAGGATTAAACAATCAGGAAGAAAACAAAAAATAGCAAATAGCAGATAGTATTAGGCCTGGTATTGCCTAATAAGCCATCTTAATATACGGCTACAGGCAGCCAAAGATTATGATTAGGTTATTTATGGAAGAAGCAATTTAAAGATTCTCAATCAAGGAAATAAGAAAATAAAACAGAGACTAGTGAACAATACAGTCAGGATGGCTAAAGGTGACGCCAAGAAACCAAAGGGCAAGATGTCTGCTTATGCCTTCTTTGTGCAGACGTGCAGAGAAGAACATAAGAAGAAAAAAACCCAGAGGTCCCCGTCAATTTTGCAGAATTTTCCAAGAAATGTTCTGAGAGGCGGAAGAAATGTCTGGGAAAGAGAAATCTAAATTTGATGAAATGGCAAAGGCGGATAAAGTGCACTATAATAGAGAAATGAAGGATTATGGCCCAGCTAAGGGAGGTAAGAAGAAGAAGGATCCTAATGCCCCCAAAAGGCCACCATCTGGTTTCTTCCTGTTCTGCTCAGAATTCTGCTCCAAGATCAGATCCACAAACCCTGGCATCTCTATTGGAAATGTGGCAAAAAAGCTGAGTGAGATGTGGAATAACCTAAATGACAGCGAAAAGCAGCCTTACATCACTAAGGCGGCAAAGCTGAAGGAGAAGTATGAGAAGAATGTTGTTGACTATAAGTCGAAAGGAAAGTTTGATGGTGCAAAGGGTCCTGATAAAGTTGCCTGGAAAAAAGTGGAAGAGAAAGATGAAGAGGAGGAGGAGGAATAAAAAAACTGTTTATCTGTCTCCTTGTGAATACTTAGAGTAGGGGAGCGCTGTAATTGACACACTCTTACTTGAGAAGTGTCTAGTGCCCTCATTAGGTTTAATTATAAAATTTGATCACAATCAAAAAAAAAAAAAGAAAACGAAATATTATTTCATAGCCATCTGATTGGCAAAAATTATTAAGTATGATAATATGGTAGTTATCTCTTGATAATGAAAACAAGTTGCCGGTGGGTGTATCTCTCTTTTTTTTTTGAGACAGAGTCTCACTCTTATCACCTAGGCTGGAGTGCAGTGGTGCAATCTTAGCTCATTGCAGCCTCCACCTTTTAGGTTCAAGCAATCCTCCTGCCTCAGCCTTCTGAGTTGCAGGGATTATAGGCACTCACCACCATACTAGGCTAATTTTTGGGTTTTTTTTTTTTTTTTTATTGGGGGGGAGGAAGGCAGGAAGGAAGGGAATAAGGATGGTAGGGAGGAAGGAAAGGATGAAGGAAGGAAGGAAGGAAGGGAGGAAGCGGGGAGGGAGGGAGGGAGGGAGGGAGGGAGGGAAGAGAAGAAAGGAAATCAAGCAATGAAAGAGACATTGCCGACCTGGATCTAGAGGTTTACAAGTTGATTTCTTTTTTTTTTGAGAAAAGGAAAGAAAAAAAAAAATAAGTAAAGGAGAGGAAGAAAGAGAAAGAGAAAGAGGGAGAGTAAATGGAAATATTGCTTTATTTTGAAAAAAATTGGGTATAAATAATGGCCAATCAATGTTTCATTTAAACTAATGGGTAGGTGTGATGTGGTATTGACAAGAATGTATATTTTGTGTATTTGAAGTGGAGAGCTCTATAAATATTTATTAAGTTTACTTGTTCTGCATCTGAGTTCGAGTCCTTGATATCCTTATTAATTTTCTGTCTCATTGAATCTAAGTCTCCTATCTGGGTGTTAGGATCGTTAGCTCTTGTTGTTGCATTGATCCTTTTACCACTATATTTTTGTTGCTTTAAAATCTATTTTATCCGATACAAGAATTGCAACTCCTGCTTTTTATTTATTTATCATTTATTTTTGCTCTCCATTTGGTTGGTAAATCTTTCTCCATCCCTTTGTTTTGAGTCTTTGTGTATCCTTGCATGTGAAACAGGTCTGGATGTAACATGCCGTTGGGTTTTGGCTGTGTCTTTTGATTGGGAATTCAGTCAATTTAAATTTAGGGTTACTGCCATTTGATGTTGACTGGCTGTTTTATCCATTTGTTGGTGTAAATTCTTCTTTATGTTGGTGCTCTTTACTTTTTGGTGTATTTTTAGAAAGGCTAATACTGGTTGTTTCTTTCTGTGTGTAATGCTTCTTTCAGAAGCTCTTGTAAAGCAGGCCTGGTGGTAATAAAATCTCTGAGTTCTTGCTTGTTCATAAAAGATTTTATTTTTCCTTCAGTTGTGAAGCTTAGTTTGGCTGGATATGAAATTCTGGGCTGAAGATTCTGTTCTTTGAGGATGTTGAATATTGGCCCCCACTCTCTTCTGGCCTGTAGAGTTTCTGCCGAGAGATCTGCTGTAAGTCTGATAGGCTTGCCTTTGTGGTAATCTGACCTTTCTCTCTGGCTGCCCTTAGTATCCTCTCCTTCGTTTCAACCCTGGTGAATCTAACGATTATGTGCCTTGGGGTTGCTCTTCTTGAGGAATATCTTTGTGGTGTTCTCTGTATTACCTGGGGTTGAATGTTGACCTGCTTTGCTAGTTTAGGAAGATTTTCCTAAATAATATCCTGAAGGGTATTTTCCAGCTTGGATTCATTCTCTCCGTCGCATTCAGGTACACCTATCAAACGTAAATTTGGTCTTTTCACATAGTCCCACATTTCTTGGAGACTTCGCTCATTCCTTTTTATCCTTTTTTCTCTAATCTTTTCTTCACGTTTTATTTCATTAAGTTGGACTTTGACCTCTGATATCCCTTCTTCTGCTTGAACAATTCAAGTGTTTAAACCTGTGCATACTTCTCGGAGTTCCTGTATTGTATTCTTCAGTTCCATTAATTCACTCATACTCCTCTCTAAGTTGTCTATTCTCAATAGGATTTCATCAAACTTTTTTTCAAAGTTCCTAGTTTCTTTACGTTGGGCTACAACATGTTCTTTTAACTCACCGAAGTTTGTTATTATCCATTCCTTGAAGGTGATTCTGTCATCAGGAGGCGCTCGTTCTCCATCAAGCCTTGTTCCATTGTCGATGTGGAACTGTGATCATCTTTAGAGGGAGAGGCGTTCTGACTTTGAGTATTCTCAGCTTTTTTATGCTGGTTTCTTCCCGTCATTGTAAATTTATCCTCCTGTCGTCTTTGAAATTACCAACTTTCAGATTAAGTCTCTTGAGTGGACGTCCAGGTTGTTAGTTCCCAGGGCCAGAGCAGCGGCCTTAAAACTGATGGTGCTTTTCTGCCCAGGATTCTCCTGTCGGGCTTCCTTCTTGTTTCCGTAGTGGGCGACTCTGCCTTCCCGGGGCTCCAAACCTCGGTCAGAAGGGGAACCGGTCCCGTTTACTCTGCGCTGAGCGCTGCCGCGTCGAGGTGCCGGCGGAACCGCTGCGCCGACCACGAGAGTCGCGCTGACGACTCGTGTGTTTCCACCACTGGGGGATCTTCTGCTCCGTGAGCGACCAGACTTTGTCTGAAAGTGTGGCGTCCTCTAGTTCTCCGCGCCTTCCCTGAGAGCTGCAATCCCGGGATGTTAGCGATCGGCCATCTTGATCGTTCAATTTTTGGGTTTTTAGTAGAGATGAGGTTTCACCATGTTGGCCACGCTGGTCTCAAACTCTGGACCTCAAGTGATCCGCCTGCCTTGGCTTCCCAAAGTACTGGGATTATAGAAGTTTGAGACCAGCATGGGCAACATGGCAAAACCCATCTCTACAAAAGGTACAAAAATTATCTGGGTGTGGTGGTATGTGTCTGTAGTCCCTGCTACTTGGGAGGCTGAGGTGGGAGGATCACCTGAGCCCAGGAGGTTGAGGTGGCAGTGAGCCAAAATTGTGCAACTGCACTCTAGCCTGGGCAACAACGTAAGACCTCGTCTCGAAAAAAAGAAAGAAAATATGTTACTGCCACTCTGCCACTCTAGGACTTATCTAAGTATTTTACCTCCTTACCTTCAGCAGGAAGTTGGGAAGCAAATTCTGAAGGCAAAGTTAAAAGAGCAAAATCCTGAAGTGCAGCAAGCCAGAGTCTGCTTAGTGTGCCAATATCTGTGTAGACTAAGTCAAGCAGTCCATCTGATGAACATGATCCATATCTGATACTGTCTTCTAAACAGGTGGTAGTCTTCAAAGGTTGTCTGTGGTTTTTACGTCTTTGCACAGCAATTATGTAGACCTGTTAATTTAAAAACAGGAAAACCTTTTATCTGCTGAAAAGGTGCTAGAAAATTTTTATATCTTCCTGAAGAGGCAGACTTATCTTTGAGCATACTGGATTTGAAATGCACTGATATCAAAAAAGGCCTGTGTGTGTAACTACACACAGAAAACTGGGGTAGAAAGAGCCAAAAATACTATCTTCAATGAGATGCATTAGGGATAACAAATATCTGGTAAATATAATGCCACTTCTCACATTTACAATCATAATACTGTATCACCACACTCTTTCTCATTAACCTGGTATGGCCTAATAAGCCATCTTAACATATGGCTACAGGCAGCCATCTCTGAACTGAAACAGTGAAAATATTTTCATTCAAACATATTACTAAATCTCTATAAAAAGTGTACAAATAAATTTAATATGGATTATAGAATATTAAAGCATGCAACACAGTATATAACATGCACTATCTTTTTATCTACAACTCTAAAATCCAAAAAGCTCTGAAAAAACCTAAGTTTTTGGCAAACTAATCTGGTGGCAAAACTGACTGAACGTATGTGAGGCCATTTATATCTATAAACACAACACAGTATGAATATTCAAACATTAATGTGTTTGATTATAGACTCTTGCCCCAGACTTCCTAGACAGATATGAAATATGCACTGTATTACTTTTCTAAAACCTCCTGAAGTCTGAATTCCAAATATATCTGCTCCAAAGACTTCAGATAAGGGATTATGGACCTCAATTATGAAAAATATATTGGTCAGTCATTATTAATCTTTATTGAGGAAATAAGAGTAGGTAACAGGCTTAAGCAAAAGCACAGATTTAGATCCAGTCTATTTTATTTTATTTATTTATTTATTTTTTTTAAAGAGATGGGGTTTCACCATATTGGTCAGGCTGGTCTCAAACTCCCAACCTCAGGTGATCTGTCCACCTCGGCCTCCCAAAGTGCTGGGATAACAGGCATGAGCCACCGTGCCTGGCCCAGTCTATTTTATTTTTATTGTTCTGAGACGATTCTGTCGCCCAGGTTTGAGAGCAGTGGTGCCATCTTGGCTCACTGCAACCTCCACCTCCCAGGTTTGAGCGATTCTCCTGCCTCGGCCTCCCAAGTAGCTGGGATTACAGGCATGCATCACCACGCCTGCCTACTTTTTGTATTTTTAGTAGAGATGGGGTTTCACCATGTTGACCAGGCTGTCTTGAGCTCCTGACATCAAGTGATCTGCCTGCCTCAGCCTCCCAAAGTGCTGGGATTATAGGCATGAGCTACCGTGCCCAGTCTATTTTATTTAATTTTAAAATTTTATATAGAGATGGGGGTCTCAGTATGTTTCCCAGGTTGATCTCAAACTCCTGGCCTCAAATAATCCTCTTGCACTGGGCTCCTAAAGTGTTGGGATTATAAGCATGAGCCACTGCACCAGGCCAGGTACAGTTCATCGAATCTTGGCACAACTACTTCCTAATGAAGGATGTCCTAAATAATGACAAAAATAAAGATTCTACAACTTTCCGGTTTAAAATATCTCTACTGGAGGAAACCCTTTTGTACATGTTGGTTAATCTGTTAGATAAAATCTGAGGTTACATACCATCATTAAAATGATGTGTGAACTGGGCCAGGCATGGTGGTTCATGCTTATAGTCCCAGCACTTTGGGAGGCCAAGGCGAGTGAATCACTTGAGGTCAGGAGTTCGATACCAACCAGGCCAACATGGTGAAACACTGTCTCTACTAAAAATACAAAAATTAGGTGGGCATGGTGGTTCACACCTGTAGCCCCAGCTACTTGGGAGGCTGAGACATGAGAATCGCTTGAACCTGGGAGGTGGAGGTTGCAGTGAGCGGAGATTGCTCGAATGCATTCTAGCCTCATCAACAAAGCAAGACTTTGTATCAAAAAAAAAAAAAATAATACATGAACCAAGATTGGTCATGTTTGGTAACTGCTTAAGCTGGATGATGGGTATATGTAGATTCATTATAAATATCATTACCTTTTCTTTTGCAAATGCTTAAACATTGCATAATAAATATAAAAATAACATACCTTTCTTCACTAGGAAAGTAAATAGCATTTTACTATAAGATTTCTTTATTCTTGGAAAATAACTACTACTTAGTATTAAAAAATCATTCTATAAAAGAGCATTAAAAAACATTAAACTACATGCTACAGAGTTGACAGAACATATAAGAAGACCCAAATTTCCAAGAATTCAAGATTCAATAAAAATTGATTTCCACTGGCTACTGTAAAGTCTCTCTGGTTCATAAGTGGCACTGCTTAAAGTAGAAGATAACAGACCATGGAAGACTTTTAAAAATGCTTGACCAACATATTAACATATAAATACATCACATGTTGGAATTCTTTTTGTTTACCTTAAGAATGAATTTCTTTGTAGTTGATTTTAAATAGTAAATTTCAGTTTATGGCCTAAGGTGTTTATTAACAATTTCCAGAATTGATTATAAATTAAGAAGTACCAACCTCTGCCCAGGCTTTAAGCACAGCTAAGATCTCCATGGTAGAAGCACTTTCATTATATAAGTGACTTAGAGCTTCTTTTCCAGCCTGTATTTTTGTTAATGATGAGACAAGCAACTGATGAATTCTTCGTAGATCATTAAGGTCACTTACAACTCCACTTGCTATCCAGGCACTGCAAACCTAGTTTTCAAGAAATTAAAAGTTATATTTTAAAATTATAAATATCTCCCTTGGCTGGGTGTGGTGGCTCATGCCTGTAATCCCAGCACTTTGGGAGGCTGAGGCAGGCAGATTTTTTGAGCCCAGGAATTTGAGACAAGGCTGGGCAACATGTCAAAACTCTGTCTAAAAGAAAATACAAAAATTAGCTGGGCGTGGTGATGTGCACCTGTAGTACTAAGAAATCCTATCTCTAAAAAAAAAAAAATCTCCATTGTGAGTTCAGCAGAGCTCACTTACATGTCAAGAATCTAGACACTGAGACTATATTGCTATTGCTTTCAAGAAATCCTATGGAAGGAGGCTGATGTTAGTCAAAGTCAGCATTTCCAAAGGGAATGAAGTCTTCAGGTTGAAGGAAGGAAACCAGTGCTAATGAGTATATAAATTGAACAGCTCTAGATGAATTAATATTGAGAAACGAAGCTATAAAATCATAAAACTCCAACAAAAATTTTTGGTTGTTTTGAAGACAGTGTATTTTTAATCTTAAAAACAAAGTATCATTAATTCTACAATGCCAAACACTCAAGCTATGGTTTTTCCAGATGCCATGATACTGCTCTCTCTTTTTTAGGGATAGGATCTTGCTCTGTAGCCCAGGCTGGAATGCAGTAGCACCATCGCTGCTCCTGCAGCCCTTACCTCCCTGGCCCAGGGGATCCTCCCACCTCAGCCTCCTAAGTAGCCGGGACCACAGGCACACACTACCATGCCTGGCTAATTTTTATAGAGACAGAGTATCCCTATGTTGCCCAGGCTGGTCTTGAATTCCTAAGTCCAAGTGAGCCACTTGCCTTGGCCTCCTAAAGTGCTGAGATTACAGGAATGAGCCACTATGCCCCAGCTGATATTTCTCTTTTTCTAAGGAAAATTTATTTTTCCTCTTCTGTGTATTTATTTAGTTTTTGTCTCATCTCATAAAATATTTCCAGTAGCTTACAGCAAGAACACACACAAGAAAGTTATAACAGAGATTCCTAAAACATTTAACATAGTTCTCTGAAAGCACTCAACTATTTCCCAAGTACAATTAAAGAAAATTGAAAGAACTGACTAAAATTAGTTTTTCCCACTAAATTTATAATTAATTTATTCATTCCAGCTGGAGTACAGTGGTATGATCTCAGGTCACTGCAGCCTCCAACTCCCAGGTTCACGTGATCCTCCCCACTCAGCCTCCCAAGTACCAGGGACAATAGGTGCCCACCACCATGTCTGGCTACTTTTTTGTATTTTTAGTAGACTGGGTTTCACCATGTTGGCCAGGCTGGCCTCTAACTCAAGTGATCCGCCTGCCCTGGCCTCTCAAAGTGTTGGGATTACAGGCGTGAGCCACTGTGCCTGGCCTAGGGCTAGATATTAAGTGTTTGACAACGCAGTCTGAGATAAGCAACTGTTTAAAATTCTATACTATATGGCTCTTAGGTATATGAAAAAGTGCTCAATCTCATTTAAAATATAAATCTAAACTATCCTGAGACAGTCTTTTTATTCTATCATATAGACAAAAATCTAAAAGTTTGATGACTCACGATGTCGCTGGGACTGTGGCAAAACAGGTACTTGTACAATGCTGGTGGAAATTTAAATGGTAAATACCTCTAATACACTCTTAAATCCATCAATTCAATATTGAGAAATTTATCTCACAGATACGCTTATACCCAGTGAAATGACCCATGCCCAAGGTCATTCATACAGCACTATTCTAATAGGGAAAGACAAAAAACCCCAATGTCCATCAATATGAAACTGATTAAATAAATTGTAACATATCCATATAGTGGATTATCATGCAGTTGTCAAAAATAAAGAGGAAGTTCTCTATATTTGAGAAGAAAAATGTAAGCTGTGATTGCCAGTAAGACAACTATAAAGAAAAACAATGGTTAAAAATACAAACTACAGGATTGCTTCCCAAGATTATTTCTTAAGCTTCATCTTTTAACCATTTACCTGACATGCTTTGGCAGTGACATCAGGTGGTGTCTCTGAAGTGAAGGCTGGTCTAAGTGCTGCTCCTACCTGGCAAGAAATTATATGACATATCAAACATCGATAAGTAAGACAGTCCAAGTTTTCCCTCTTTTTAAAGTTATTTTAAATGATTTATTTATAACAGGTATTATGAATAACTGTTGTTTTGCCTACCCAATATATCTTCCCCTGGTTTTGGATAACAGCATCCCAATTTTTCCTTTGGGAAACAATCTTCTCTCCCCAACTCTCTCTCTCTCTTTTTTTTAGACGAGTCTCACTGTGTCGCCCAGGCAGGCTGGAGTGCAGTGGTGCAATCTCGGCTCACTGCAACATCTGCCTCCCAGGTTTCAAGCAATTCTCCTGCTTCAGCCTCCCAAGTAGCTGGAATTACAGGTGCATGTCACCATGCCCAGCTAATTTTTATATTTTTAGTAGAGACAGGGTTTTACCATGTTGACCAGTCTGGTCTCAAACTCCTGTTGATCCTCCCACCTTGGCCTCCTAAAGTGCTGGAATTACAGGTGTAAGCCACTGCGCCCAGCCTCTCCCCAACTCTTAATCCATGTTGCTATTTTGGAGTGACAGCATTGCGTGGCTCCAGGGACTCATGCTGGGATAATGAAAGCTCTCAAGACTTTCACTGGGATTACTGGGAGAGAAGCACTGTATCTTTTTAAGTCCCTGGGTGCTAAGAAAGCCATCCTGATATCACATAGAGAGAATAAACCTGAGAATAAGGCCACAGTGGAAGAAAGCAGAGACAGCTAAGAGATTGCTAATAATAATTTTTCTTTTCTACTTGAGTTGTATTTCCAGCACTTAACAGTTCTAAGAGGGCTAAAAATATAACAGAGCTCCTCTTAATTAGGGTGAATTATAATATTCTAATATGATAGTTCTACGTAAATTTAATTGCTTCATTTTGCTTAGTCCGTAAGTATATGTTGGTATTAGCTGAATGAAGTGATCAAGACTGCTAATCAACTGATGAACTGTTCTGGTATCCCTAACTGCTAGCCATCAGAAGTTACTTCTGAACATAATGAGATATCTCTTTGGATGATACTGCTAGAGGATTACAAGAAAGCTGCTGATTTTGTTTTCTTCCTTGATCTTCCTAAATTATTCAGTGGACCAGTCAAACAATCAGTTAAAAAGATTACGCAACCAGTAATAGAAACCTGAATCCTTGGGCTGGGCCTGGTGGCTCATGCCTGTAGTCCCAGCACTTTGGAGGAAGACAGATCACTTGAGCCCAAGAGTTCAAGACCAGCCTGGGCAACATGGTACAACCCTGTCTTTACAAAAAATACAAAAATTGGCCAAGTGTGGTGGTGTGTACCTGTAGTTACAGCTACTTCAGGTTGCATTGAGCCCAAATTACACCACTGCACTCCAGCCTGGGCAACAGGATAAGACCTTGTTTCAAAAACAAACACAAAAACAAAACACCACAGAAATCTGAATCGCTTCCTAAGTATAGAAAAAAAATGAAAGAGGTTATATATATTATGAAAATTAACCTTTAAGGTTATAAAACACTTGTTTTTTGTTTTTGTTTTCTTTAACGAGAATTTTTTTTTTTCCTGGAGATGGGCGTCTCCATAGGTTGCCCAGGCTGGACTGGAACTTCTGGCTAAAGTGTTCTTCCTGTCTCAGCCTCCTAAGGAGCTACAGGCATACTACAGTGCCCAAAAGACCTGTTTTATGTACTCTGCTTTGATCTGAAGCTTTATAACGTATTAGCTGTAAGATTTCTTCAAACATATGTGCTTTCTATATATGGATTATACTGGTGATATGTTAGCAGAGATATACACTAATTTATGAGGTGACATCCCAATTAGGTTCATAGACAGATCTCTTCCTTCTTTTCCTCCCTCCCTCCCTTCCTTTCTCTCTTTCCCCCTTTCTTCTTTTAAACTTTCCCATCCTCAGACAGTTTCACAGACTTTTTTTTTTTTGAGACAGCGTCTGGATTTGTCACTCAGGCTTGAGTGTAGTGGCACAATCTCAGCTCAATGTAACCTCTGTCTTCTAAGCTCAAGTGATTCTCCCACCTCAGCCTGAGACTACAGGTACACACCACCATGCCAGCTAGTTTTGTTTTTGTTGGTAGAGATGGGGTTTTGCATGTTGTCTAGTCTTGAATTCCTGGGCTCAAAGCTACCCGCCTGCTTCAACCCCACAAAATGCTAGGATTACAGGTATGAGCCACTGCACCTAGTCTTATGGACTTATTATCTGTGTGCTTAATAATAAAATTCTCTAACAGAAAGTGCTTACATTGGCTTGATACTGTTCCAGAATCACATGACCTGGAAACTCTGGTTCTGGAACAGTTGCAAATCGCCGAATAACAACTAACAGCATTTCAAGGCCAGATAGACGGAGATGGTCATTGTGATCTGTGGCAGCCATAAAAGCCATGCGAATTAAGTCAGCAAGATGCAACACCAAAAAATCACCTATAAGATTAAAAAACATATTGAGAGAAAAGAAGATTAGAAAATATTAAAAAAATGTGCTGGAACTAAGACTTACATTAAGTGATCATCTTTCCTCCTCTAATTTTATAACCTAGACTTTAAGTACCTCTGACTTGATACACTGTTTTTATTGTTTGTTAACTACATACTTTAAAGCTGGATTTAATGTACAGTCCAAATACACAAAAAAAACTGTTCCAAAGTTAATAATTATATACAGCTACTCAGGGCAGAATTAGCAACTTTTAAGAGTCCTAACAGTATCTTCAATAAAAATTTTGTTCAGATTTTATGATAACAACACATTAGTTGGTACTGAGGAGACTTTGGGCTTTGATTAATAAAGCAGAAATTTATTCTCTTTATGTCAAGTTGAAGCTAAGATGTAATGTTCCTTTAAAAAAAAAGTTTTATGTGGCTCTCTATATCTACTACAGTGTCTTATTTATACATATCTTGCCAAACACGGAAATGAGGAGAGCATAAAGAACATTTCTAGCTGTAGAAATGATAAATGAGAATTCCTTTCATTCCTGTAACACATTGTTTGGTATAATAAATCTCCTGTGGAGTAATATAAGAAAATTGTTTAACAGAAGAAATCAACATATCTTAGTAAATGCCAAACACAACTGTAACTGAGAGCACAGGAATCAGTAAGTATCTACAGCATGTATATTTTATAAACTGTACAGAGCTCATCATAAGGAGACCCAAAAAATGTGTACTTAAAAAATAATTAAACCAGAGATAACTAAATCATACTCAGACTGGAAATAGCAACCTTTTGCTTTGTAATTCTATTGTCTGGTAAAGAATACTTCTAAGGCATTTAGAAATACGCACTGTGGACAGGTGCAGTGGCTAATGCCTATAATCCCAGCACTCTGGGAGACTGAGGTGGGAGAGTCACTTGAGCCCAGAAGTTTGAGACCAGCCTGGGCAACATAATAAGATCCCATTTCTACAAAAAAGTGAAAACTAGATGGGCATGGCGGTATATGCCTATAGTCCCAGCTACTCGGGAGGTTGGGGTGGGAGAATTGTTTGAGCCTGGAAGGTTGAGGCTACAATGAGCTGTCACTGCACTCCAGCCTGGGTGACAGGGTGAGATTCTGTCTCAAACAAAAACAAAAACAACCATATATATATATATATATATATATATATATATACACACACACACATATATTATGTATTGTGTCTTTGAACATGAGCTTAAGTGAATTTGAAAAATTAGACATCAAACCCTAAAATCAAACATAAATAGGTAAAAATAATACACTTGAACAGTAAGAGGTGGTCAAAATGGTCTTACTGTTTTTGTAAAAAATCAGGTTTACTTAACAAGGAGAAAGGCTCAAATGTGTTCCAGTTAATATTTATGATGCTAAAATAATCTATAAGCAAAAACTAGCCCAAGTTACAAACCAGGAAATAATTTTTGAGAACTAGTTAATGTTTATACTATTTCCCAAGAAATAATTATTTTCTATAAACTTAACTCATTGCACATGTTCATTAAAGTGAATGCCAATTTAAGAAGTTTAATCATTAAAAATGTATTTAAACATGAAGTGATGTGATCATAGCTCACTGCAAGCTCAAACTCCTGGGCTCAAGTGATCCTCCTGCCTCAGCCTCTCAAGTAGCTGGAACTATGGGTGCACACCACCATGCCCTGCTAATTTAAAAATATTTTTTTAGTAGAGACAATGTTCCATTGTTGCCCAGGCTGGTTTCAAACTCCTAGGCTCAAGGGATCCTCCTGCCTCAGCCTCCCAAAGTGTTGGGATTATAGGTATGAGCCACTGTGTCTGACTAGTTTCATTTTTAAAATTAATATTAAAACCATAAGCAGACAGCATGTTTACACATATCATTTGGTGTTTTCATTACTATGTCACTTACTTCTTGAATCTCTTTTTTTCATTTCTTGTGCTAAAGCAATGTCAAAATGTGCACTGTTAGCATTCTCACATTGGTTAATTATCCTACAGACACATTCAGCAGCAAAGACTCTAGTAGCCCATTGGGGATTGGTAAAAGGATGGGATTTTTCATCATGTGTGGTGGTCAGGACTGAGGCATCATCCCCTTTATCTCCTTCTTCTTCTTGCATTGTATCCACACAAGTTAGAGCTGTAAAATCTTTTATTCAAGGAGAACAAATGTAATTATAATCAATTGAAAGATATATATATATACACACATATATATTTATATTAAAAGGAACAGAAAAATGACTTCAAATTCAGACTAGAATTGTTACTGATCAATTATCAATTGCTATTGGTCACTTTTTTTAACAATATCAAATAATTAGGTCTAATAACTGCAGTTGTCTAAAAGAGATGCTTTAATAACTGTTCCAGGTCAAAATGACAAAGCTGTTATCAATCCCCTGCATGCAGATGGATGTACTTAAGTAAACTCAAAATTCTCTAGTAGGGAATATGTATGGGATACATTGGGAAGGCTGTTTTAACTCTGGAGCCTTTCATGGATTTAAGAAGGTTCCTGAATCTACTCAAACTGTCTGAAAGTATTTTTCTTAGGGTAGACCCATTGCTATTATTACAGTATCAAATTTGTACTGATAGCTAGAGTCACTGAGTAGTGAATTATTTCCTCTACTTATTAACTGTTAAGCTTACCAACTGTTTACGAACTGAAAATGGAACTAACGCTATGAAACAAAACAAACTACTTTTCTTATATTATCCCATATATCAACATTTTTTGCATGTTAGAATAGCAAAGATGTCATAAATAAGGTTAAGGCAAAGTTAACAGAGCCTGGAAGGTGTTTTCCTGAGAAGGTATGGAGCCAAAGCACAGAAGATGAAGAATTAATGGCAAGATAAAATAGAGCAAGTTCAGGGAATATGAATGTAAAATTTAAGAAAGTTAAGTGAGACATCAGAAAAATGTAATCAGTCTATCTATGCACATATAAATGTTCTTTTCTTTTCTTTCTTTTTTTTTTTCTTTTGAGACAAGATCTTGCTCTGTTACACAATCATGGCTCACCTAGAATACCTGGACTCAGGCAACATTTTCTTTTAAAGAAGTCCTTGCAATTTCTGAGTAGTGGGGACAGAAGAGAGAATTAGAGAAATAAAACATGTATAGTGTAATAGTTTAACAGCAGGTACAGTCACTGGAGAGGAACCAGTAAGAATCAAGATAGAAAGAGGAGAATACAAAACATTCCAGGGATTTTATTTAACTTTTTTCCTATCACACAATTCAGACATGAGAGCTACCTTAAATTTTAAGGCTTGGGCAACGGAGTTGGGAGCACTGAACTACAGTGGAAAGCTTGTGGATTTTAAAAGTTATGTAGGCATAGGACTAAATCTGTCTATGTCTTCGGGTTGGTTACCTCTCCGGGCCTGTTTTCTATAAAACAGAATAAAATTGCCTATGTACAGGATGAGTTAAAAGATTAAATCAGGTAAATTTTGTACAGTTCTTGGAAAAGAACTGTTTTTTCTCTTCTTTATTCCTCTTATTTATTTTCTCTCTTACCCCAAGGATACAAATATTAAAGATTTGCATATACGTTCTCATGAACAATTATCTTGCATTACTAAAGACATTACGGCAATAACACTGTTTTGTAATACTATTTGAAATTAACATTATATGTAGTGAAACTGGCTTGCTCAGAATGTCATAACTTTGAAGAATTTTCTCTTACGATGACTAAACAATTTCATATAATGTGTGGCATGGGGTGGGTATGTATGTATGTATGTATGTAGAGACAGGGTCTGACTCTATTACCCAGGCCGGAGTGCAGTGGTGTGATACTGGTTCACTGCAACCTCTACCTCTTGGGCTCAAGCAATCCTCCCATCTTAGCCTCCTGAGTAGCTAGGACTACAGGCGTGAGTTGTAGTCCTAGCCCAGCTAATGGCCTGCCTTAGCCTCCCAAAGTGCTGGGATAAAAGGCACAAGCCACCGCAGCTGGTCTCAAATATTTATTGTATGTATGAATAGAAATGATGGGGACAATATGAATTAAGTCCCACTTTTTACAGCATAAATAATAACTCTACTTTTTGGTTTGTTTTACATAGGAAAGTCATCTAAGACAGCAAAAGGGAAAAACAGCAGGCTTAAGTATTAGATTTATACTGTTCAAATTAAAGAGAATTCTAAAACACTAGAAATATAATCTTCATCTGAAGAAAGAAACAATCAGACAATCAGAATCCAGCTAGACAAGACTGATGAGTTCTCAGCAGTAAACAATTTTATGTAAAGTCTTAAATTTCAATTTTATTATTTAACTGATAATGACCAACGCTTACCAGCTGATGCAGCAAGTACATCTTCACAAAGCTTTAACCAAAGGGAGAGTTTTCCCACAGCCATAGATGTAAGCATATAATTTAAAGTCTCTTTGATATCATGGCATAATTTGTCATCTGTCTCTTTGTCTAGCAATATCAATAATGCCCCCTCAAGGCCGACTTCTCTGATGTTAGCATCTGACAAGAAGAAAAACAATGATCTAAGTAATATAGAAAGCAAAACTACCATATCAGAAGCTCACAAATTCAGTAGTTATTCAAATAGTAGACAAAAATATATACCAAAGAACTAGCCCAAATACCACGTTTTAATCTACTGAGATCCATTTTAGTTCACACTTGAATTCTGTTGAATTTTGGGATTATTTATGATCCTATATAGCCGTATTTTATGTAATGTCATTGAAAGGAAAGTATTAAGAATTATTATGTTTTCTTAATCACGTAAAAATTTTTACACAATTAGTGTCCAATACTTATATGTTTTATTCAGTGCTTCTTCCCCATTTTGAGACAGTCTTGCTCTGTCACCCAGGCTGGAGTGTAGTGGTACGATCTCAGCTCACTGCAACCTCCGCCTCCTGGGTTGAAGCAATTCTCCTGACTCAGTCTCCCAAGTAGCTGGGATTACAGCTGCCTGCCACCACATCTGGCTAATTTTTGTATTTTGAGTAGAGATGGGGTTTCGCCATGTTGGTCAGGCTGGTCTTGAACTCCTAACCTCAAGTGATCCGCCCGCCTAGGCCTCCCAAAGTGCTGGCATTATAGGTGTTGAGCCACAGTGCCTGGCTGCCAGTGCTTCTTAGTATAATTATTTTCTAATTTTAAATAAACATAATTAAGTTTTCCTCATTCTGATATACAGTTTTAAAATTTGTTAACATGAGATAAAGCCCAAAGAGAAAAAAACACTATATGAAAAACACTGTTTAATTACTCCAATTAAGCTATTGTGGACTACTGAATAAACATATATCACTATACAATATTCTCACTACTATGAAGTAACACCTCTAAGGGGAAATATAATCCTTGATCTAGCATCAACTATTATCTTTAATTCTGAAAGTGCCAAAAGGACAAATACATTTTCTCTTGAAGAGTTAACTCATCTAGCATTTATGAAAACAGGTAGATTTCAAAGATTATATTACTAGTAGACTATTCTATTTATTTATTTTTGGAGACAGAATCTTGCTTTGTTGCCCAGGTTGGAGTGCAGTGGCAGCCTCTGCCTCCCAAGTTCAAGTGATTCTCCTGCCTCAGCCTCCCCAGTAGCTGGGATTACAGGTGTGTGCCACCATGCCTGGCTAATTTGTTTTATATTTTTAGTAGAGATGAGGTTTTACCACGTTTGTCAGGCTGGTCTCGAACTCCTGACCTCAGGTGATCCACTGGCCTTGGCCTCCCAAAGTGCTGGGATTACAGGCGTGAGCCACCGTGCCTGGCCTTTGTGGGTGTTTTGTTTTGTTGGTATTAGACTGTTTTAAAAAAGAAGTTATCTTTTAAAGATCAGAAGGAGGTGGTAGAAATGTTTCAGATTAGGGGTCTAAGAAGATATAGCAGCTAAAGAGTCATGACTGGATCTTAGATTTAGGTAGCGGGGAAGGGGAGGACTCATAAAGGACATTTGGATGACTAGGGAAAAGTATATGAGGACAGTAAATATTGATTTTCTTAAGTGTTGCGATCATCTATGGATATGTCCTTTGCCTTAGTCCATTTTCGCACTGCTATAAAGACATACCCAAGACTGGGTAATTTATTTAAAAAAGGTTTCAGGCCAGGCATGGTGGCTCACGTCTGTAATCCCAGCACTTTGGGAGGGCGAGGCAGGCGAATCACCCGAGGTCAGGAGTTCAAGATCAGCCTGGCCAACATGGCAAAACCTCATCTCACTAAAAATACAAAAAATTAGCTGGGCGTGGTGGCAAGTGCCTGTAATCCTAGCTACTTGGAAGGCTGAGGCAGGAAAATCGCTTGAACCCGGGAGGTGGAGCTTGCAGTAAACCGAGATTGTGCCACTGCACTCCAGCCTGGGCAACAGAATGAGACTCTGAGAGAGAAAAAAAGAAAAAAGAGGTTTCATTGACTCACAGTTCTACATGACTGGGGAAGCCTCAGGAAACATACAATCATGGTGGAAGGAGAAGAGGCACATCTTACATGGCAGCAAGCAAGAGAGAGCGTGTAAAGGAAGTGAAGGGGGAAGAGCCCCTTGTAAAACCAACAGATCTTGTGAGAACTCACTATCATGAGAACAGCATGGGGGGAACCGGCCCCACGATCCAATCACCTTCCACCAGGTACCTCCCTCAACAACTGGGGATTATATTTGAAGATGAGACTTGGGTGGGAACACAAAACCAAACCATATCATTCCACCCCCGGCCCTTCCCACGTCTCATGTCCACATTTCTAAACCAATCATGTCTTCCCAACAATCTCCCAGAAGTCTTAATTCATTTCAGCATTAACTCAAGTCCACAGTCCAAAGTCTCATCTGAGACAAAGCAAGTCACTTTGGCCTATGAGCCTGTAAAATCAAAAGCAAGTTAGTTTCTTTATAGATACAATGGGGTACAGGCATTGGGTAAATGCTCTTGTCCCAAATGAGAGAAATCAGACAAAACACAGGGGCTACAGCACCCATGCAAGTCCAAAATCCAGTGGGGCAGCCATGAAATCATAAAGCTCCAAAATGATCTCCTTGACTCCATGTCTCACACCCAGGGCACACTGATTCAAGAAGTGGGCTCCTAAGGCCTTGGGAAACTCCATCCCTGCAGCTTTGCAGGGTATAGCCTGCTGCCCTGGCTGCTCTCACAGCTGGCGTTGAGGGTATGCAACTTTTTCAGGCACATAGTGCAAGCTGTCAGTGGATCTATCATTCTTGAGTCTGGAGGCCCCCTTTTTCTTTCCTTTTTTTTTTTGAGACGGAGTCTCACTCTGTCACTCAGGCTAGAGTGCAATGGCATGATTTTGGCTCATTGTGACCTCTGCCTCCCAGGCTCAAGCAATTCTCTTGCCTTAGACTCCTGTTTAGCTGGGATTACAGGTCCACACCACCACGCCTGGCTAATTTTGTATTTTTAGTAGAGATGGGGTTTCACCATGTTGGTCAAGCTGGTCTCGAACTCCTTCCTTGGCCTCCCAAAGTGCTGGGATTACAGGGGTGAACCATCACGCCCAGCCTTGATGGTGTCCTTTTCCTTACAGCTCCACTAGGCAGTACCCCAGTGGGGACTGTGTGTGGGGGCTCCAACCCCTCAGTTCCCCTTTGCACTGCCCTAGCAGAGGTTCTCCATGAGGGCTTCACCCCTGCAGCAGCTTCTGCCTAGACATCTGGGCATTTCCATACATCATCAGAAATCCAGGTGGAAGTTCCCAAACCTCAGTTCTTGAATTCTGCATACTAGCAGGCCCAATATCATGTGGAAATTACCAAGGCTTGGGGCTTGGACCCTCTGAAGCAATGGCCTGAGCTGTATGTACCTTGGCCCCTTTTAGGCACAGTTGGAACAGCTGGGAAACAGGGCAACAATTCCTAAGGCTGCACAGAGCAGGGGGGCCCTGGGCCTGACCCACAAAACCATTTTTCCCTCCTAGGCCTCTGGGAGGGGCTGTCACTAAGGTCTCTAACATACTCTGGAGACATTTATCGACTGTCTTGGCAATTAAGATTAACATTTGACTCCTTGTTACTTAACGAAAATTTCTGCAGCAAGCTTGAATTTCTCCCCAGAACATTTTTTTCCTTTTTTTTTTTGAGACCGAGTTTTACTATTGTTACCCAGACTAGAGTGCAATGGCACGATCTCAGCTCACAGCAACCTCCACCTCCTGGGTTCAAGCAATTTTCCTGCCTCAGCCTCCTGAGTAGCTGGGACTACAGGCACGCACCACCATGCCCAGCTAATTTTTGTATTTTTAGTAGAGACGGGGTTGTTGACCAGGATGGTCTCGATCTCTTGACCTTGTGATCCACCCGCCTTGGCCTCCCAAAGTGCTGGGATTACAGGCGTGAGCTGCTGCGCTCAGTGGGGTTTTTTTTTTGTCTATCACATCCTTGGGCTGCAAATTTTCCAAACTTTTATGCTCTGCTTCTCCCACCTTTTTTTTTTTTTTGAGTCTTATTCTGTTGTCTAGGCTGGAATGCAGTGGTGCAATCTCAGTTCATTGCAGCCTCTGCCTCCCGGGTTCAAGCGATTCTCCTGCCTCACCCTCCCCAGTATCTGAGATTATAGGTGCTTAACACCATGCATGGCTAATTTTTGTATTTTTGGTAGAGATGGGGTTTCACCATTTGGCCAGGCTTGTTTTGAACTCCTGAACTCAAGTGATCCACCAATCTCAGCCTCCCAAAGTGTTGGGATTACAGGTTATGAGCCACTGTGCCTGGCCTCTGCTTCCCTTTTAAACACAAACTCCAATTTCAGATAATCTCTCTCAAGTAAAAAGTTCCACAGATAACTAGGGCAGGGGCAAAACAGCGCCAGTCTCTTTACTTAAGCATAGCAGAATGACCTTTACTACAGTTCCTAGGAAGTTCATTAACTCAATCTGAAACCATACCACCTTGGGCTTCATTATCCACATAATTATCAGCACTTTGGTCAAAGCCATTCAACAAGTCTATAAGGAAGTTCTAAACTTTGTCACATCTTCCTATCTTCTTCTGCGCCCTCCAAACTGTTCCAACCTCTGTCTATTACCCAACTCTAAAGCTGCTTTGACATTTTTGGGTATCTTTATAGCAGTGACCCACTCTTGGTACCAATTTACTCTATTAGTCTGTTTTCACACTGCTATAAAGACATATGTGAGGCTGCGTAATTTATTAAACAAAAGAGGCTTAAGTGACTCACAATTCCGCAGGGCTAGGGAGGCCTCAGGAAACTTACAATCATGGTGGAAAGGGAAGAGGCACATTTTACATGGCAGCAGGTGAAAGTGTATATGAAGGAAGTGAAGGGGCAAAAAAAATCTCATGAGAATGCACTATCACGAGACCAGCATGTGGGAAACTGCTCCCATGATTCAATCATCCCCCACTAGGTCCCTCCCTCAACACCTGGGGATTATTATAATTCAAGATGAAATTTCAGTTGGGTCATAAACCAAACCATATCCTTCTTGGGAAATGTAAATTTCAGTGTGATGTCTGCAGCCTGCTT